AAAATATTAATACGCTGTAAGATTTCTTGATATCATTTTGAGCTCTTTTCGATCATCATTTTTGAGTCGTGCATCTTAGTGCATTGATCTTAGCTTCATTGAACCGGCAGTTCTTTAGCGAACTTTAGGGCCTGAAACTCCCTTGGACTGACAACCTCTAATAAGGCGCGTTGCTGGAAGACCGTCTAACCTGTAGGGGAACTAGTTTTGACAATATAGACTCATATAATCAAGATTAAGATATAGCAAAGTAAAAGAGTGTATAGATGAGCAAAAGGTTAAGGCTTAAACAGTAGGGCCAACCCTGATATGATAATTGCTATCACTTTCATGATTTTATAGGTTAATGTATTTTGAAGTAGCCTTGATTGGACTCTTAATGGAGTCAGACTGTCAATACAAATCAAACCGACCTTGATTATAACTAGTTCCAAAGTCTTTCCTAATCCGGCATCCTTTGATGTCCTTTCATTTGGAAATCGAGTTTTGAGTAAGGGGCTCGTCCAAATCGTTAACAGAAAGAGTAGGGTTTGTTTTACCGCTTGAAAGATGTCATTTCGTATAATGATCGYGACCACGTTTTAAGCATCGAGGACGTTTTAAGATAAGCGATAAACTGTAATGATTTATTACATTACTGCAACGAGATCCCGGCGCGTTTTAGATTTAATTCTCTGTCCCATGTCATCTTTAGTCTTTGAGGCAACCCCAGTACACGCGATAGATTTATATCGACCGCGTGTCGGTAAAACCGGCCGGTCGCATTGGAAGAGCGGTCGAAACCCAAGGGCTCCTTTTTTTATCCTTTCTTTGCGTCCATCATTTTATTGGTTAACATGCAGTACAAAACTGGATCCCACAAGAAGTTAGACCACTACCAYGGAGATAATTTATTATCTACAATCAATAATGCCAACTAGTAAATAAAGGAATGCGATTATCGACCAGTGGAAATGCTGAAAAAAACACTGAAAAACGGGATTTTTAATCATAATAAAGAGAACGAAAAAAGAACCAAAGAGAACGGACCTGTTCGTAGAAAATTACGTGGTCAAAATGTTTACAGGAAAAAAAATTAATCACTAATAGAAGGTTTCAAGTTTTTTTTAGTTGTCCAAATCACATGCTTCAAGCGTTTCTGTAGCCCTTTCAAAGCGCGTTCCGTGTCAGATATTTCAGATACTCGTATTCCAATCCATAAGCCATCAGAGTCTTTCACCTCAAGATCTTATCAAATGGATATCAGAAAACTGGAGGGGAARACAAAATCTTGTTTTATTATCTCAAGTACAACTTCCCTAAAGATTATTCATTCGCATTTGAAACGAAAAATCGTTATMTATGTGGCGTAGACCAAGGGAAATAAACGAGTTATGTCACAAATGGGTGAATGCTTAGCAGGTGGAAGTATGATAGTCACGCGAGATTGTCATAGAGCCGTTTGAACAGTGTCGATATAGCCCTAACTAACTGCTAGCAAAAGTGCGGTTTTATTGTATAGCATTCTTGGGACTTAAGTTCTGATGGAAAAGACCCCAAGATCGAGCTAGTTCTAGAAGCAAATATTCAAATTCAATATTTTCAGCTCCCCTCCCGATAATCATCTTCACAACAGCTGTACAGTTGGAAGTAACACATTCATTTTCTTATAGCTTTATATTGATGTTGCCTTGATGTTGCCAATATTCTATACTCTCAATTCGATTAAAAATGCTGCGTTTTTRTCGCGGAATCTTTCATTGATCTTGACTAGGTTTCCCTTTTAAATTTGTGTTAATATTATATCAAGTGTGTTTCACGAAAAACACCTGAGGCAGTTTTCCAACTGCTTTTCGCTTTGGGAATATAATTGATGCATAATGAAGGCGTTAATGGCAGACGTTGAGGRCGGGAACAGAGAAGCGGATAAGAAAATAAATAAAAAATACAATACGTCTGGTAACTAATACCTATATGTCTGAATCGTAGAATTAGAATGATGCATGCTCGCTCGGGTTTTAGTAGCGTGCGTTGTATACAATCTTAACTTGGACTATATATCGTATCAGTCTATCACAGTTCAAAAGTCACATGCAATGCTTTTATGMAGAGCGAAAAAAATCAAAAAAGAAKCCGTATCCTAACTAAATGACCACACAAATACGGCACACACATACCACAAACAAGAAGAAAAAAAAAAAGACTTCATCGTCAGCCGAGTCAAGCTTTTTAACAACACGAACATCACTTGAACGAATCGAAGATAGCAAACACTTTGACATCAGTTTTCCGGCTTTTTTTTTTTTGTCAGCTGTCTTAGAAAAATAAATAAAGATCCACAGAAATCATCTTTAGACAAAGCAGATAGTTGTCAAAGCAAARATACTAAGTCTCTTCCCTTTGATAGTGAGTGAAGAAAGAGCTAGACATCTACACTAATCCTTGAGTAAACATTCAAAACTGTTTTTCTAGCTGGCAAAGTTTCAATGATCTTTATACTCACTGGTTGTCTCATTTTGGGATAAAATTCCCAATTAAATATTCTCGAAGTTTGACAGCAAAAGGGTTTAATTTAACTTAAAGATTATGTTTTGAATACCATTACGAGATAGAAGATGTTTATCCCAAAGCCCTATTAAACGTTACTGTGGTAGGAACAGAGAGCATTATTAATGAAGTGACGGTTTTTTTTTGTTTTTTGTTTTTTTCATTATTTCAAACATACTAAAATAAATAGATGAAATACACTCAGTGAGGTCAAGATAGCAAAATTCACTACAAACGRCAACAACAACAATAACAGCAGCAACAACAACAACTACAAAATTTGGTTCATTTTAATAACGATTTTTGGCTACTATACAGATCGAATAGTAATAAAACAATGCTGAATAATCCAGATGGACAGGAATAAATAAAATGATCCCCACGTATTAATGTTTTTTCTAAGGCAACTTCTAAACCCTCAAGTAAGTATTACAGTTTTTCAACGTTTTATMAAGAAGGAATTGACCAAATTTTGTAGTCCACACGAAGTATTTTCAAGAAGAAAAGCTTAGAAACTTAGAAGCTAAAAGGTATAAGAGAGCAATGGCTATGATTTAGAGACAGARGTTGCTAGCGTTACAGAATAAACTCAGTATAGGATTCATTTGATGCGAAGAGCTGATCATTTGATAAACTTTAACTCTGGTGATATAGAGGCAATTTTCTACTGCGTACTGGATTCATTTTCTATAGGATTCATTTGTTGCGAAGAGCTGATCACGTGATAAACTTTCMCTTTGGTGCTATAGATAATGCAATTTTCTACTGGCTGTGTATGTGAAGTAAGCAGGAAAATAATCTATACCAACGCGAAAGAATTCAAGCTCGAGAAAACTCGAGTGCTAGAGCAGACATGTCATTTCAAATCTCATCGTTCAAGAACGACGAGTTATCTTTCGTCCAATCCGATGGCGAGGCTCAAGAGGAACAATATCAAAAACTAAATTTATACRAAACATCTCAGTCTTTTGACGTAGAGTGTTTTTATTATAGGATTCTGGAAGCTTCCTTTGAGGCAATATCTAATGTCTGTAGAACGTAGACCAGGAAAATATTTCGAATCTACTGAAGAATAGATAGATAATCCTTGGAAGAATCTTGTAGACAAATTATGTACTGTATATTGAATGGAAACTAGTACTGAATGTCTGCATGCTTCTCTATACAATATAAAAAATTGTATAAATCATAGRAAAGATTTTTTGAATTTACTGGTTTTTACTTCCAAAGCAAAATACGTAAATGATTTCTTTCTCAAAAATTTCCCTTTTTTGATAGAAAAATTATTTTTTGAGTATTTCTGGCCTATTTTCTTCATTCARCAAATGCATAAGGTATACAAATTAACATTGCAACAAAAGCAGACAACTTTAATGGATTTAGAAAACAGCGAATTTCGTAGTTTAAAAGTATCTGTTATTTGACATGTCCGATTTTTGACACCAAACTATCACATAAAGAAACTCTTTTTAAAAACATGCGGACGTTTTGACATCACGTTGAAAGCCTTTTCCCTTCAGTTTGTCATCAGTAAAAATCCTTTTCTTGAACTTGAAAACTTAGAGTTATCGAAAGTATCATGAGTAGAATGTTCATGTCAAAGTTTTGCAACTTAGGATCCGAAATCATCAGTATTGAAAATAAATTTTAGGAATTACGGTTCAAAAGATAAATGGTTTTGGTAGTATTTATCTAAAATTGAATAATGAACTTTTTTTTAGGCTAGAAATTTGTTTTACRACAGACAAAAGTCTAGTAAACTATATCCTTCTGATATGGAAAATAAGATAGGAAAGAAGGCTAGCTGAAGGTGGTGAGGTTAAGTGTCTTTGTATTTGAATGACATCTAGAAAGCCACTTCAACGCTCACCCAATACTAAACTCCAAATTCAAAGTGCATTTTCCTTTCTATTGTGATCAGCGATGGTAAAAAGAAACTCTGTGAAAACACGTCCATAGCTTGTCACTTATGATTCTTGGGTGTAAATGAAGAAAGATGGCACCTGATTTGAATGCAATTGACGGCATATAACAATGTAAAGTTTTATACTCTGATTGGACACACAGCTTTATGGCATCTTTCATTTATGAGATTTGACGTTTCTGACCATCWTGGAAATGCATTTAGAAGCGAGATTCAGAATGTATTTTCAACAAAGTAATTAGGTGTGAGAACATACAAGCTCTCTTTCTTTCATTTTGCTAATCGAAAGAATTTTGCTAGACAAAGTATATTCCATGAAGTAGGGTTTCGATCGTTTTGGTAAAATACGTAGACTTAGGTCGCGATCGTGGTGTTGATTTTGCGCCTATCATTAGACTAATCACCATTGTTTGTTATTGGTTTTGAACCTAAGCAGTCCCTCCCCCCTCATCAAAGCCTAACTCCTTGTCAATTTGGGTGCACTTGTGGTTGACGCGAGCCTGTCAAACGCGAGATAGCGTATTTTCATGCAAATCACTTGGGATTGAAGCAAAGCTGATAGGCTGTRCACGTGGGGAATTATCTAATGGTTCAAAATATAGGGTTTGAAAGAGCCACRACTGATTACCATCACCTCAGCATGTTTCCGGTAAGGCAGCATTAAGGGCCATGTTTCAAACACTTCACTAGACTCCATTAGACTAGAGCGAGTGCTTGCGAAGCGCTGTATAGTGTCTCGCTGTAATTGGTTTTGCTTCAAGTCTCGAACGATGTGTATTTTGAGTTRGTGGACATGACAAGAAAATTGATCTCAAACTGTATGGGTCGCCTAACCTTGGTTTTATTTGGTCCAACATTTAGAAGACAACTGAGGTGTTAGTAAACATTAAGGCTGATCTGTTGGGCTTATACAATTAACGCTAAGACAAGCTTGAAGGGTTGCCTGCCCTGAGACAACAAATTGTCGAGGGAATGTGACACGAGAGAACACGATGCTTCGAAATACTTCTTATTAACTCGCCTGAACTGGAGACTGAAAAACAACATAGTGTACTGTACTTYGTGGCGCCTTCAATTTGTTTGAATGTTCTAAAGATTCCTCAAAACAAGTTCAAAATCCGCGCACTTGGTGATTTCGAAAGCTCTGCATACCAACCTTGACACTTACTWGGCTTCCTTGAGTGAATTTTTACTCACATCACCTTCAAAACACTGGATGAACGTTCACTGTATTTTACTTTCAGTATCCAAAAAACGCTTTATCAGCCGAGGTAAGTGAGGTTAATTGTTTCTGAAAACTTTGTAGTCTATGGTTTTATTCTTAATCCATAGTGTTACAGAGGTGTTATGGTTGTGTTACGAACTCTTTCTTCGCTCAAGCGAACTTCAATTTATTCTAATTCTATAATACAAGGTTTTATAGTCAATATCCAGGCTCGCTCGAGGCTGATTTTGCTGTTTGTGTAACATCCAACCCTACTAATATTCTTAATCCTAACACAAACATTGMGTATAATCGCCGAAGAAATCTGAAACATTTGACTAGAAAGCATCTGTTTTGAAGACTCTTTTCGAATCACATCGATGGTTCCATTGTCCTTGTGTCTTATTTTGAACACTAGACACAACATACCAAGACAAATAAAKGTTTTTGATTTGCAAAATATTTCGTGAATCGACTGGTTTGACACGACAAAACACTTTATTGCTCTTAATACCGATGTTGACGTACGAGGCGAAACTGCCTTGACATGGTCAGAAATGCTAAGATTGACATTTTCAATTCGCTTCAGAGTACACGTGCCTTGGATTCAAAACTAAATATGGGGGCGTCATCGGGAATGAACAGCATTGTCAAATCTTAATCATAAGAAAAGCACTTTATATTTAGCTAGAATCAGATCATTCGAGAGAAAAACACACAATGGCGCCCTCTCAACTTGCCAAAACACAGGCCGCTGATACTAAAGCWAGAAAATAGTGCCTTTTGTTAATGGATGTGAAGTGATATTGAACTAGTTGTACAACTAGATGTGGTTAGATTTACCTATCCATCTATCTTCTTACGAATTTTCTCATATTTTTTTTAACATTGTCTCGTTAATTGATTTAAAAAGTAAACAGAATTATGACAGACTAAATCGCTAGGAGATCGTATTCTTATTGTAATACAAGTAAAAAACCGATCGTTAAAAAAATTAGCAAGCCTAATTCAGAATCTAATGATTCATAGCAACATGAATGTCAGTATTGAGCATCTTAATGATTATGCTTAAATCAAATATGGAATTTTATCCCAAACAGATGGWTACCGACTTGTAAACTCCCGTTAGATAAATATAATCAAAACGGGGCGGGCAGTGGTTAGCGTTATTGTAAATATATTTTATATCGTTCTATATWACCAAGTTGTTAGGGTTTCGGGTARAATAAATGCAGCGCAACGCAAAGCGTCAATTTTTTAATCTCCTAGAAAAATTCTGGTCCACAACATCTGCTTAATAAGAACGCTTAGGCTAAGCGTGTAAGAGGCTTCTTATTGGCTTGYATTTGAGCTTATTGTTAGTCGTACAACAGAGTGTAATAGGCGTGGAATGCTAATTGATGTTTCATTATGTTCTAACAATCTTATGTGACAATTAAATTAGGGGGGGCTTAAATGTTTAAGAAAGCGCTCAACACATATACTTGGGCTCATACGAGGCTAGATAGATAGATCGACAAGTTCACACGGTCTCACCGTCAACTTCATTATCTTTCAGAAACAGAACGAGAGATGTTGACGACATGAAGAGCGACGGTCATATCTGGAGGCGAGTTTACTTGGCGATAGTCGTGCTTTCATCAATTAATTACGGTGAGTGGATGGCATACACGTTTCTACTATCATTCAAACCTGTAGATTTTTTTTGCTTTTAATTAGTAAGAGGCTGTCATTACTTGAACGGGGACAGCCTTCATCGGTCGTACTTGCAAGACAYGGGAAATTACGGCTACGATGAGTGAAGAGCTGAATCTTTTATAGTTTGATTATATTTGCGGGACAATACAAAAACTACTGTGTTTTACCAACTGCAGCGACTAGCTGTTTGTTTAGGCACAAAAGAGCATTTAAGCTACATATAAATTGTTTATATTCCTTATCCTTTAACATAAACACCGGCCTACCAACCCACCACCTGAACGCAGGCAGGCCGGACGGCAATTTCAATTAACCCACTATTACAGTCTATCTTTTTCTCCGATCACAAAGAAAACTTATACAAAGATATATCTACWAAAGATAGAAGCAAACTTAACCTGTCTGTGTATTTGATTTTGTAGGGGATCTGATTTCGGCAGATTCTATTGGAGTCATTGTAGAAAGAGTAACTCCTATTCGGACGGTTCTCAGCGGTGATGTAAACATTTCTTTACAAATCCCTGGATATCTGGTCAACGCTACTGCGCSAAGAACACTTTTTTTGACAGTCATGGAACACCGAACTCACGTACGATTACGAACTCTTAAGGTCGACGTGGATYGTCAAAACCTTACAGTACAGTTACCATGTGACTTGTTTGACCACGCTGGTCAGTACGGCTTTGCATACAAATTCTCTGGAAACGGGCCTACTGGAAAACTAAACACCACGTTGAGCCTCGAATGGGGAAAGATGACTGTAGAGGCACCGAGGAATCACACGACTTTGACCCGCTTTGGTTATATTTGGGTCTATCACGACCGCTCTTGCCTACCGAAATCACGGCGTTACCGCGACAAAATAAATTTGTATTATCTAAAGGAAAATCGAAAAGTGGTGATAACRCATCGAATCGTACGGAAAGTAAAAAACGGCAAGCAAAAAGGCCCCASGCGAAGAATGCGTATGGGTTTTAGTTGTGACCTCTTTGATATAGCACAAACTTACTTCTTTGAATATGTATCTGGGTTTAATAACGCTTCTTTGGCAAGGAGCGAGCCTGTGTTTGTTCGTTGGAGCAAGCATTCTCTCTACACGCCTACCAAGACTATATTCCCTTGCACTAACTCGTTTGTCGTTTCGTTCAACGCTCCCGAGTGTCACAAGACAACGGATGTTATAAGAGTTTACGAGCAAAATTCTGGACGTTTTGTTACCGAGAGACCTGCGTTACCAGGTCACACGGCTGTGTTTTTTCCATGTACTTTATTCAACGACTAYATCAAGGGATATTGCTTCCGTTATGTTAGTAAATCTACCATGAACAGCAATGCGGAAAGAATACAAGCTTCGCACTGTGTTTCTACGCTTGAACCAGGTAAGCTTTTCTTATCTTGTTAGGTTTAATTAACATCTTGGTGTCCCGACTTAATCGTCTTTTGGCTGACGTTCAGAGAGCATTAAAAACCTAGGCTTTATCTTCTCCTGTCAATCTAGCCTTGTAATGATCTTAAGATAGATCTGTTACTAGTCTTAAAAAAAACTCGTTTGCTTATTGGTTGTCTTGTCGCTAAGACCCGAAGGTTGGAGTCGCAGTGTRGGATTAACAGTCAATTCTTTTAGTCATAAAAGATTTGTGCGTTGATCCTAAAGAATAACATCTCACCAGTGAAAATTAACTATATATAAAACACATAATATTAAAAATCGATTATGGTCACATCTTTATCAAGTAATTAGCCGGGTTTCCYTAAACAGGGCTATTCTAATAGTACATCTCTAACACGTAAATACAAAAGCCGAGGGTTTGCAAAACCCTCCCTAGGATTTATTCTATGAATGGGTTAACCATTATGTTCAAACTGCATCCGTTTTATTACTCCTTTGGGGATACTTRGCACTAGTTTGTGTTTACTAGAACAAAAGGATAAATCAATCCAGTAGCGGGTTATAATTAAGAGGTGGAGTTTGAGGTGATTAACGTTTAGTCGGTTAATTGGTGCTGTAGGCTAAATATTTTTATAGTGCAAAACAATACGATATCAACGAACTGATTCTTACTAAACGTCACTCAAGTATGAGCGAGACTTCCACCGATATAAACCCATAGAATAATCCAAATACATCACATCGTAGAAGCCGAAAATTTTTCCATTACTCGAAAAAAATATTTGCCGAACTTGGCTACTTTGATAAACACAAAMCACTGCGGATTGTTCATAAATTGTTTTCCGGGGATTTGAATTTACTTCCTCTGAGAAAAAACATTAGTACAGTTTAGCATTTTAACGTAGCGATAATGTTGTTTTAATTGCTATTTTAAATGCAAAATCTGAATTAAGAGTATTAGCCTGTGTAGAACATAAAAGACCTGATATTGATCAACGCTTTCTTCAAAGAACATTTACCCTCTTCGATAAATACAGTTTTAGTAATGAATTCTAGAATTTTTTTATTTATTTTTTTTTTCAAAATGGCGCCAAATGTAGAATGAGAAATAACCGATGTAAAACTGTTTATTTTTGCTTGTCTTAAAGTTTCCCTCTGAAGCTCATTTCTAAATTTTGATTAGTACTACTTGTTTTTGAATTGTACTTTAGTTTGATTTCGTCTCCACTCGACACATTTTCGAAGTTCGGCCAACACTTGAACTTATTTTGCTTGCCATAAAACACGCATGCCGAAGACCCTGGAATTTGTAATCCGCAGATGGCGAGCGTGTCTTCTTCTAAGCTTTTATACAAACAACCAGCCGGCTTATGTTTGAAACCATATATTGTTAACTTCAATAGATACTACATGATAAACATTGATTGTTGCGTCTAGATATCACTTAGGGAATTTACTTGACCAATCTTAAAAATGTGATTTGAAAAAATGTCAACGTCAAAAGGTATTATGATTGCGAATCCGCTTGAGGGTGAATCTTAAGGGGTACCCCTCCCCTAGAATAGACAGGGCTATCTGGTAAATGTCAGGGCAAATAGGATTCCTAGCGRATCCGGCTCACCTTATGCACCAGTATTTATAAGTAGCATTAGTAAGAATCTCYCTGTGTCTCACCTGACGTGAAAGTGAGAAAACTAGACCAGGACTAATATGGTATCACTGTACGAGGCGAATAAGGTCAAGGTCGATGGAAAGGAGTCCTGAAATCTTAATGAAAAGTCTTTTAAAGTTGACGGGTGTGAGACAAAATGATTCTCACTATAAACAGCATTCATATTTTTGATAATAAATTAGTCTGATACTTCAAATACTAAATTCAGTTAAAAAGCCCCCCCCCCCCCCCAAGGAATAGACATACAGCATGATAAGAAGCTTGCATTCTTCAGTGGAAAAACGTGGGTTTTTATTTCCAACTTNCCCCCCCCCCCCCCCAAGGAATAGACATACTCGAAAACATTCAATATATCCAGCATCAACATTAACAGTGTCATGAGCTACAATCGCTTGTCGACAAACCAAATGATTTACAATCATGTCTTTTTAGACTAAGATATCGAAGGTGGCTACTGCAACTGAAATACCTCGGGATTTTAATAACTCTTAACGTAGTTTAATCCATGTTAAATGACAGGAGAGTAGAAAGATATAGTGTCATGGTATATCAGTAACTTTGCAGCTTAATTTTCCCCCTCCCTTTCGTTGTCTTTTTTAGCGTCAATATCGGTGAAGAATAGAATTAAACTATCAATACTTGRTTTCTGGGTGACAAGTTTGCTAAATTCTTAATTTTCTTATTTGAAAAATAGCTTTARAAGCTGTAATGATTTTCTAGTTCTCGTTCTCTTGAGCATTATTTTTTCTTTTTTCTCTACAAACTTGAAGCACGGCGCATGGATATAGTTAATAATAATAATCTTTAAAAAATCTTATCTGTAGGATAAGTGAAGTAGGAACGAATTACACTCGATGACTGTTCCTTATGTTTCAATAGTGCCTGGAAAAAACGTTTTATGATCTTAAAGCGGCCCTCGAAGGAGGTGCCCTTAGCGCACAAGGCGGATTAGATACGATAGAGAGGTTTGTGAGGTCTTTTGCCAAGATCTATCGAACTACTATGGACCTCACAATCAGTCAGGKACCAACGGCTAAATATAATATTATATCAGTCTTACAGCGCCTTATTGGGCAATTCATGGCCAAGGTACTTGCGCGCATGCGCGCAATAAATCTTATTTTTCAGCTACGCTACAATGTATTTATAAGGTAAATCTTCTCTCGTTAGGATTTCAAACATGGTTGATGCATAAAGATATATAAAAAATATATATGAAGAGCCTATACTAGTGAGTAATGCAGAGTGATATCTATTTTCTTTGGCCGAGAGCAAAGCCAAAGTTTTTACTTCAGTCTTTCAATTTTATCGACGCAAATTCAATGATAAGCTCTTGTATAAATTAAACTACCCCTATGTCAGTTTATCCAATAGCAAAATAGGAACATTCAATACAAGATCAATGACCCAGCAATTAGCCTCAGCTAGAAACGTATAACGATACAATTATGGCTTCCGGTTCACGATCTTGATATCGAGGAATGTCAGCCAGTCGAGCGATTATCAGCGGCTGTCATTGTTGCAAGATTGTGCGAACGGCTCTCAAAGTGTTACATGTCATCTCAGGAACTAGTTGATGTATTTGTAAGAAAAACGTTATCTCCTCTTAACTCGTGAAKCAGGAATGGTCAGAATTGTCTTAATCCTTGCCTCAACGGCGAAGCAGTGTCTCGAAGATTCACGCGATGAGTAGCCCTTTGATGGCATGCCCATGTAGAGAAGAGTAACGGTGTAGTAATGTATATGACAAAATGGCGGCTACATGATACAATGGCTGACTTGAAGCGCGTAAATAAGGCAGAATAAGGATGTAATGTTTTTTTTWAAAAAATATTGGAAAAAATACAGACTTGTCACGTGGTTGACAAAAAGGCGGCTATATGATACAATGGTCGAGCGTGGAAATAAAACAATGGCGAAAATACCAAAGGCTCTGTAAATTTTTGGCTTTTAAACTGAGTAGCATTGATTCTTTTATCTTTTAATATTTTTTGTATAAAGAACGAATGAATGCAAACTGAAAACTTATAGGTGATCAAATAGAATCCCATCAAATAAAAAAAAATTTCAGAAACACATTGTTCAAGTTTATTTTCCATTTGAAATCGGAAACTAGCTTGCAAGGACATCGCTTTAATTTATCGAAGTGGGATTAAGAGGGCGTTGTATTTGGCATTTCGATCTTATCACTCAGTAACCACACATCGATAGATTCTGATAGTGTTTTTAAAATGCCCTGGCGATGCCCGATCAAACGCGTTATTATTTGGGCTTAACTAGATGAATATCTTGAGAAGAAGCGTCAGTTTAGAAAAGAGGCTAGTTTAAATATATAGCTGGAGTGGGAGAAATTTAAGAACAAAACATTCTAAGTTAGGTTTTTTTACGGGGGCAGGGAGGGGATATTTAGGAGGGGTTTTCTGAATGAGGGTTTTTTATGGGAGAGGGGCCGTATAGCAACTGGAAAATTTCGTTTCATACTTGATCTTGTGTCTTCTAAATTGTACTATTTGTACGTTTGAGTACACTGGGAGTGATAATGTGTTGGTCAATCCCGAGGTCATGTAGCTTTAACAAGGGAGATTTTAACAGAAGCAGAGGATGTGAACGAAGTAGTTATTAAGTAATTCGCAAAAAAATAAACTGAGAATTTGTATAGGCGATTGAAACTAGGTTCACTTTACGATGGAATTGCAATAATAGACGAAACATATAGACGGGACGGACAGACAAAACAGCAAGGCAGATTTAAACATACATTGCGTGACCCCATGGAGTCTTCAGAGTTATCGGGTTAATTGCAATATATAATTCACCATTCTAGAGCAGATGAACGATAACATGCACTTTGTGACCGTCTGATCTAATGGAATCAYGTCATTCGGTGATAATGTTCATGTTCGTTTTATATTGCATTAAAAACGTGGACAAATGGCTCAACGAGTGTGCATTCGATCAAGTTATTACTACACGCGATTACACGACCAACTGTTTGAGATCGTTATGATATTTAATCACGCTTCAATCAAGACAGCTTTCTTGATCCTTTCAGAATGATCTTGACAGACAAAGGGCAAAAAGGCGGTTTTGAAAATTACAAACACATTAAGAAATGATTGATAATTTTTTTCAATTTTTCAAACTGCAAGAAAAAGCGGATTCCACTTTCACTTTCATGTATTCCTTCTCAACCAAACAAATCAGGAAAAAAACAGATTGAAAAATTGGGAGGATAAAAAAGAATAAACGTCTCATGTCAAACTGAAGCGTTTTTAGCGTTATCAGCTGTGTCTCGTGGCCAATCTCTGCGTCAAATGTCTAAGTAGTTCAAGAAGATTTGGTCTTTTTTGACCAAGCATCTCTTCTGCTTTGTGTAAAAGAAACAAGGCGGTCGTTTTGTGGCTATAAACCACTTACATTGTTTGACACGCATGGCGTCGAGAAGGCGACAGACATTTTGAACCTACGAGAGCCCGTTTATCGATCAACATATTTACAAGGGAACAAAACATATGTTTTAGCCCTCTAGTTTGAGCCAGTACTACGAATGGCCTCGCAGTGAAAAAAAATCGAGATGAAGGTCATCTAGTGTAAACTGAAATTTTAGGGTTTGTTCAAAATTTTTCATTTCGTCACTGACTAAAATGGAGAGTGTAATTTTCAGGAACTGAAATAGCTTAGTTTTTTAATATCACTTGAAAATGTTAATTATGAAATGTATTTTCAATTCGAACCTAATATAACAGCAGGAGCTTTTCATTTAGTAAAGGGTACTTTGTGCAAGGAGTAGATGTCAATGCAAAAGAGAAATATGACCTCAATTTGGCGGGTAGAGTATCAGAATACGTAAGGAATGAGAACAATCAGGAATGATCTGCTTATATATGTCTGACCGCCTTTTTTAATTGTGTTTAATAGATTTGGCGTTTTTAGAGGTTAATAACAGTAATCTGAAACAGTGCGTTCGTAGAATAGAAGGGCGCCAGAGTGTCAAACCAGGCGACTCATTTTCCAATACTTGTGTAAGACAATCACGATAAGCTATAACAAAACGCCATTAATTAATGATCTACTACGTTATTACCAATATATATCGGATCATTCTAGTATATTCTACTAAGCATAGGGTTTGAGCAGGGTATTTTGGCGAAGTGGAGGCWGGAGGATACTTTCGCCGATCTGCGCGCCTGGGAAAGCAAAACCTGGGAAAGCAAAAGACATGGTTTAAAGGATCTCAAAGCTCTTCCAAATCTCTAAAAATCTTAAGGATTTCGATATCTTTATTATCAAGCTATATATATATATATATATATATATAGGTAGATAGATAGATAGATATGATTTTTTTAAACAGATTTTGACCATGTTTCATAAATGATTTTAACCTATACGTATAAATCTTCAACAGGAAAGTCGATTTATGACGGGTGGAGCTCGTGGTCTTACTGGAATCTTTGTTCTAACTCGTGCGGAGAAGGCAGAAAATATCGATACAGATTTTGTTTGAGTTTAACCTCGTCCAAGGATAAAAATAAAGAGTGTGGTGGGAGAGCAGTCGAGACGAAACCCTGTGTTTTACGACCTTGTCCAGGTAAGTTGGTCAAAAACACAATCGAAACCTCTGAAAAACGGACATCTGAATGTCCTCGATTTGTTTCTCCGAATTCTCTTGCCTCAGTTCCGTTCCCTCCTTTTCTTTTCCCTTCCTTTTCTTTCCTTTTCTTTCCTTTCCTTTCCTTTCCTTTCCTTCCTTTCCCTTCCCTTACTTTCCCTTCCAAAGAGCGAGAAGTGTCCTGACTGTGGCAAAGTAATAATTATTTTTGTCTTGTTTTCCAGAAACAAGAAATGCCTGTGCATGTGGATGCAGACTGACAGAACCCGAAGGCATGATCACTTCATCACCTCAACTCTTCAAAAAACCTGGTCGTTCTCAATGCACCTGGCGAATAAATGTCCCCGGCAACAAGAGAGTCAAACTGTGGTTCGACGCACTAAAATTAGACGGTGATTCTGTTTTCATACGGGACGGCAATGACTCGAGCGCGAACCTACTGGCTAAGATTAAGGCGGACGACTACGAAGATGCGATCATATCAAGTGGGAACAGCATGTATATTTATTATTATCATAATGGAAAATGGATCAATGGGACGCGGAGAGGATTTACGGCATCTTACAAAGTAGAAGGTGAGAATACATGCCTGGATGAATAAGCATCACTTTCTTTGACTTACTTACAGCACGCGGTATACATTGTACGACATGCCATAACATTGAAATGGCTTTCTATCGTTTTCCAGTATAATTCATTCTACCACGACGCGTAGTTACTGCTTTGACAAGATACGGTACGGCTAAAGGACGACTACGATATTGCCATATCGTTTGCCACATATACAAGAGTCGCTCTACCAATTAATTAAGAATGGTTACTTCGTACCTCAATCAGATAAGCAAAAAGGCTCCGCCTGTTGTTTACGAAAGATTTTTTCATTTCTTCTAAATTTTTCAGATATACATAATCTGTGGTTTTCAAAATAGATATAAAAAGTGACATACTTGAGTATAATATATACCTTGCACTGACGTATAATATCTTTTTCCAGACACTTCAGTGGCAGCAGTTTTCGCGTCTAGCAGACGAACCCTCGGAACAGCGGAAATTTCATTCCTCGCCATCTTTATCGTTGGGATTCTTATCATGGGAAGCCTTCTTTTGATCGTCTTTTTGAAACTTCGTCGTCAGCACAGGTTTTCAGCGTCCAGCGGTAGTTCTACGACATCCGAGTCCACGATACGATCGGCTGGCACTCCATCTCCACTTGAAGACGAGGCTTGCATCAACGAACCACTGAAATCAACCAAAGATACCCGCACTAAGAAACCATCGAAAGGAAAACGAGAATACAAGGAAAGACAAAAAGAAAGAAGAGAACGACGAAATGAAATGACTTGTGAAGGAAATCCCATTCCTCGCTGCTCATGCGCATTAGTCTCCGAATTCGATTCCGGGTCCGGCACAAACTCTTACAGCGACGGCTCGCCACAAAGACACAACAGTGGTGTTTATCGAACACTTGAAAGAACTATAGACGACTATACTGTCTGTGATTGTCCAATGTGCTTACGTCATCAGAGAGAGTATCATATTCAGGAGCCACACTTTGGTAGCCCTGAGAAAAAGTACTACGGTGACTGGATGATCCAGGAGTCGTATATGGAGGATTCCAGGCAGAATTACCGTAATTCCTTTCCTCAATATGTTTAAATTTTCATGATAGATTTTTAAAAAGAAATTTTGTAACGATTTTTCTTTATTATGACTCGTGGTCGCCATGTTGGTTGTATCCAGTCCGTCTCGGTAAAGAGGCACGTGACAATCATGTCAGTTTCTATGAGAATCTGGCCTGGTTAACTTTCAAAATGGCGGCCACTAGTACGAAAAAATATTGTATAGTTCTTGGTCTTTACAATGGGTAATAATTAGATATATTAACAAAATCTGCAAAGCAGAAATAATTTATATAACAATATTTTCTCAAGTCGTTAGGTCTTACATGAATAGAAAGTTTTTGTGATAGTTTCATATTGTGTTCCGAGTATTAAGACTTTTTTGGTAGTGGCTTGATTTAAGTCGATTCTCCATGCAAAGGAAACGACAGACAACAAACTGATTTGAGATTCATTGTCCCATGTTCTGTACAGAGTGTGTCTCGAACTTGATAACCCATGATTTCTTTATTGATCTAAAGGTCTTAATTTAGAAATATTTTATAATATCGCAAGCTCATGACCGTTGGCGCTGAATGGCACCAAAACTGAATACTTCAAATTTGCCACTCAAACTAATCAATAAGAAGTATTATCGCATAGTAGAATAATATTTCTTGCTAAATGATTGGCTTATATGCGGTCCATAACATACGGTATGGACCCGCTCAATGAATTTGAGGTATTAATATGCTTGCTTTTGAGACCCCATCAATCGGCCTAAGTGATCTACGATACATTGGGCCTTACCAGAAACGCGGTGTTGGCAGTTGATCAAACAATGCTATAGATCACGTGATAACTGCCATCACATGACCTTGTCATCACGTGATGATAAAATACTTCTTTTGTTCAAATAATTTATCTATGTTTTCAATTTAAAATGTTATTGACGACTATTTTAGCAGTTAAGTTTTATAGCAATTACCATGTTTTTGAGGAAAGAGCATTTTTCACGTGACATCACAGCGGCCATGTTGGTGCACCAAAACAATACATTTTCTATCCTCGGGGAATTGAACTCTATTTTTTATGCAAAAACGGTGCAGAACGTTTCTATTGTTTGGTGCACCAACATGGCTTCTATGTCATGTGATTGAAAACACAATAGGGCTATACAGATATCCCTAAATGGAAGGGGGAATACTGGTATTTCTAAACGAAAAGATATGAATAGTATAATCTAATACTGGTTATTGACCCGTGTAAGACACAGACATGTTTATATGAACAGTAGTGAAAATATAGAATTATTTATTGAATCGAAAAGGAAAAAGAAAATCAAATCCGATGAAATGATCCCATACAGCTAGGAGTTTTATTCAAGAAAGTTTCTAATGATATCAAAAATAGCACTGTAAATAAACGAAATCACCTTTGTTTGTGAATAAATAATAATACGAAATTGAGAGTTCAATAAATGGATTTGTTGCCCAACCACAGGGTGCCCAAATCATCCAATGGCGCATTCTAGCTTGGGTTAACTGACTTAGTCAGGCTTTACATAGTGTAGTTCAACATCGAAGATAGACCAGATGTACGAGCATTGCAGCGTGCAAGCGCGGATCCAGCAAAAATTTTAGTGGGGGGGGGGGGGGTGGTAATTGAGTTTCTTCCGCCAACACAACGGAAAACAAAAAGAAAGCATTTAATTCTTCAGTTTTGTTTGTTTTGTTTTGTTTTTCTGCTAAAGAGGGGCTTCAGTCCCCTTTTGCCCCTGGATCCGCCCTTGGCGTGTAACCTAGAACGCCTAGTTGYAGTAATCGCTGCGAAAAGTAGAATTCCTTTCTACTTTTGGCAACGATCGCGTCTCCGTTGCACCGCGTAAATACTCTTGCAACTTGTCTCRCAAAACTGTTGAAAAACAAGTTGCAGAGAAAATTGCTCCGTGTAATCGAGCCTTTAAGATCTCGACAAATTTCAAAACAATGTTCTTAAAAAAATATGCTCATTAAGATTGTTGCATAAGGTAATTCAAGTGTTCTTTTTTGATGTCTGTAACGAGTTTTGAGGGAATTTTGGTCACTTTGTGATAGTAACACGTTAGCTGTTATTATCAAAATTGATCAATACTGACATAAAGTAATAGTAAGTAATCTAGGCAAATTTTATTGTCAAGAATTTCTTTGGAAATTATCTTATTCAAAAAGGTCCATATTTGGAATGTGTAAAACATCGAAAGGGCTTCCAAACGCGTGGGAATGTGATATCGGATGCATTGTTAAACCGAAAAGCTCTGCAGGATAGCAATTAGTTGACTTCGATTCTACCTTATCCAGAAAGTAAACTCCTTTATGGAGTTTCAAAGAAAAATATACAATGAATGTCCATTAGCAAAGAATTTGAAATGGCAATCTTTTAATCATTAGTTTAAAAAAATGGAAAATAAAAAAATATGGTGGAAATAATTTGAGTCAAACACCCAATTTTTTGAAAACTTTCATGGTATTGAAAGATGTTTGAAAAAAGGCCRGGACGACTTCCAAAATCAGTATTTCTTTGATTTCAAAATGACGCTTGAAAAATGTTACCGTACGTAATGACTGAAAGTGCTGACTTCCATGATATTTCCATGGTTTTTAAACTTTTAAGGTATAGAAAGATATTGGGAGTCGCCACACTTTCACATGATTATTCGTGCACAGCTCTTTTCCAGTGTGTCTTTTATATTTTCAAGTGATTGAAATTAACTTCTTATATGTATTGTATTCCGTAGTATAAATAAACACTCTGAATTCTGTTTGACTGAGAGAAAAAAATGTTTATTTATGAAAAGGGAGCGAACATGTGAACGATCATTTGGACAACACTTTTCCGTTTTTAAAAACTCACGCAGAGGTCTTGAAGTAGTTAATAGAGAGTTTTAGATTTACGCTCACGGCAAACATGAAACGTCAGCTGACCAGTGAAAAATTCTTTTAAATTACTAAAAACGAATATCAAAAAAATCCAAGAAGTAGAAAAACAAAAAAATATTTGTGGTGAGAAAGTTTGCCAGAGGTAAAGTTAAATACAGGAAAACGATGAAAACGTGGTCACGTTTGCCGTTTACGGGGAGAAAAAAAGTCAATCTAAAACTCTCTAATTTGGATTCGAGTAAGGTACGTAACGGGAGCTCTCTCTTGGGCGAGTGCGTACAGCTTCCATTAAAATAATGGCAAAGAATAGATTGAAAACTTAATAATAAAAAAAAATAAAAAGTAAATAAATAATAATAATGAAAAAAAAAAAAAAAAAGATTGAAAACTTAAAATCTTTTGTATAAAGGTAACCGGAAAATCTAGATAGATGTTCGCTGCGTTAGTTGCTAAGATCGCATCTTTGGGGGAAATTACTTCAACTCCAGGTGGTGCGTACATGATGACATAAAATCGAGTCAAACGTAGATTTGAAAAGATTAAGGATTATTACAGGGTCTAGAGGAGAGATTGATGCCTTTGTTTTTATTTGAGCGCAAACGTTCTATTTGGATGGTCGTTGGAGTGTCCGATCAGGTATGTATTGATTTTGACTTATAATTTTTTTAGGTACCAAATTTTCAGTCTTAGCTCAATCAAGCCATTATTATTATATCTTTTTGGGGTTTTTTCATTTGAAATTATGGAATCCATTTATTTGCTCACCTACCCTAGAAAAAATTATCACACGCACTTCCATTCTTTATAATAAAGTTGAAAGAAAGTTGGATGTTTTGGCCCTTTCGTAAAATTATATCTTGTTTTTTTCTATATATAACAAAAATAGAGATAACAGAGAGATGTTTAGTCGCGCTAGAAATGAAAATTTGACTTGCAAAATTGCATTGAAGCTAAAAATCCCATTTCTTTTCGTAATAAGTTGTAAAGCACCAATAAACACCGAATCGAAATATGGCGATCAATTTGAATAACTATCGTTATGGCTTGACTAGCCTCTCATACATGTGAAAACGCTTTTTAAAATTAATTTTTTTCCACGTGAACACGAGGCTAGTAAGCTATACATGAGGACACAAAGACGAGCATGCGCAGAAAAACTCACGTATCGGTGCTGTTTTAGAAGGCCTGTTTTACAAGATACTTTTCTTGTAAGTCATTTTGCTTTCTACACGTTTCCATGTGCTTTTTTATAACTTTTTCCGCCTTTATTTGCCTTGAACAGTRGTTTTACCGTGGCATTTTCAATTTCAAGATAAAATCGATTCTATCTTAAATTAACTAGGAAAAATCAMAGTAAAAAAAGGTTCAAGCCTAAGGAAACACAATTTTACTGTACCGTTTTTGTAAACACAACCGGATTTTTAATCAAAAAAGATAAGTCGGTAAAAATAATCAACCTAGTACATCACATCAAACCGGTTGTTTTTGATCTTCTTCTGAGACAGGAACTGGATCCGTCATTTACCTGATAATAATGAAAATCATCTGTAACTTTATAGTGGTAAAAATCTCAATAAGAAGCACTACTCCCAAATAATCTGTAAACTATACCTCATTATTAGGAAACTAGAGTAAATTCTAACTTCAAAAGCGACCACGAGAAATGGTATTGGAATTTCATCGAAATAACTAGCTAGGGTAATTCGGTAAGACGAAAATCGCAAAGCCGGCGTTACGACTTTGATTAAAAGTGACTTCAAATTGAATCTAAGGACAGATTGAAAAAATTATTTGTTTCGCTCTTGATTTAATCGGTAGACCATTACCACTTTCAAAAGCGCTTAAAGTTATATTTAAGTTATTTCGTTGGCAAGATATTAGAAAACAGGAGCTCATAGTCCACTATAAGTCTATTTTTTAACTATATCATGTCAAATAAAAAAACAAAATATCAGTCAACGTGTAGTTGTCAAATAGACACAAAAGAAAACGATGGAATTAGGGTCTACTATTGTGTAATAATCTAATATCTATTTCACGGTGATTTCCCTCTACTGTGCAGAGCACCTATAATTACTGCTTGTTATTAGTGCTATCGAGACGCTTAATCTGTGCCATGCGCAGAAGAATGAACGGGAAAATGAGCCGCGAGTTTGAAATCGCACCTTGATGTGTGATTAAATCAGGTGTAATCTTAATAGACGTCCACTTCATTAATAACCATTTAAAGATTAATTGGTTTTTAGAGAATTAGTTTTTCAAAACGCATCCAACATGGAAAGAAGTGACCACGCGCACCTAGTCTTCAGCGACACAAATGACATTTCAGGTATGCTGGTCATAGCAAGGGGTTAATCATTTATGGTCTAGGGGCCGACTAACCTCTCCCTTAGGCTTTTGCCGAGCTTCCTGATCAGTCTGTAAGTCCTCCCGGGATAGCGGTGTCGGGGTCRAAATCTCCGGCGTAGCMGTAATTCCATACGACGGTTGAGCATTCGATGTCTGGAAGTATGGGCCTGGTTACTCTAGAAAATAAAAATAATAAGTGCCAAAAACCAGTTTCCCAGATGAGCTTTTAAAAAGTACTATTCGTAAAAGAAAAGGATTCCTAAGTACGCATGCGTGGTAAGCGTTGCTTATRTGAAAAGAGAAACATGCACGGACATGCGCAGTACCAAAGACATMTCTGGCTTCAAGAGTGCCGTTATTTCGCATGCGCGTCCAAAATACAAAGAACGATGTTTTCGAGAAATTAAAAAAAAAATTCAAGAACTGTCGTTGAAGATTATTGCATTAAACTGAAGTAGTTTAATTGTCATTCAATTGAAGTAGTGTTTTGGCTTAATGATTCAAAACTCTTCAATGTAATGAAAAGCTTTATTTTCATTGTAAACCGTCAACTCCAAAGTCAACAGTATTCAATGTTGCTAATTGGAATATACGTTATGGTTTTCCATTAATTTATAGRCCATGTGTCATTCTATAGAGAATAAGGCCTAGGGCAAACGTCGAAATTTCCATGCACCGAACTTAATTACATACAAGAATGCCGCCTCATTATCACCTGATATCCATTGTTTTTAATGAGTYCGGTGCATGGAAAGTTCGACGTTTTGCCCTAGCTAGGCCTAAGATTTTTGTTTCGGTTGTATCTATATTTATGTGTCTTCTCATGCGCAAATTCTAAACAGCAAAGTAATACTCAAGGGAAAGACAGGTGGTCTGGAATGGAAAAAAACATTACGCCAAATTAAGGTTAAAAGGACTATCATATATTATGTTGGACTGAACAACACGTGTTAATAAGCTGGTTATTCTGGTAATTTTAGTAATTTTATTATTATTATTTATCATTATTAAATTAAATTAAGCAGGTTTTTTAATTTTCGGTTTTCTCTTACATTTTGTCCTCACGTCGAAAGCGGATCCTTACTCAAAAAACAAATATTGTGATGTAGTGTATTTTCTTTTTCTATTGATGAAATATAAAAGCTAATTGTCACTTCCTCAAGCTATCTAAATACGATAAATAAATTAACCAATCAGAGAAAACCAACATATAGTTTTAGCCAATCTGAGTCTGAAAAAACATTTTTAATTGAMCAGTAGAGTGTTGTCGTTTTTCAAGAACTAATGAATGACTAGCTCAAGAGGACTTCCGTTTTTTTTGGTGGYGTAATAAAGATGCAAAAAATAGATATAAAAGCCGCTGTTAATGTTTCGCCCGTTAAAACGGAGTCAACAGAACTAAAATATAACGCACCGCGTTTTAYGCCATTTTACAGAGATTGCAGGACATCGAATGAATCAGAGAAGTGCATATATGCTATATTGATGCCTGTATGCTTTGAAGCAAACCTTGGTATGTATCTTTAAATATCAATCAATAATTTCTGTAAGAACATGTTAAAGATTAAGTGAAGGTCCGGACTATATTATATACATGCTTTTGCTGTAAGGAGAAAAAAAAAAAAAAAAAGTAAAATCCCCCACATATTTGTTATTGTTATTTTGCAACGCTTATTTGAAAGTTTATAAATTTTTGCAAAACATAGACGTATTTCTTATTAAAGTTTTGTTTCCCTACCGCTGTTATCCCCGGTGTAATCCTTGTTCCAACCATCATATGTGAGTAGTTGTCTGTTGGTTCTCTCTTGCATTCGATGCCTTTTTTCAGGCTAGGAGTCTCCGGTTTTTCTGCTCTCGAAAAATCAAAAAATTGGAATTCAAGTTCGAACATGGACATACATACATAGTTTATTCAAGACGCAAATAAGTATAGTTCTAGGGATATTGAAAATAGTGAAAAGCGAACACAAGCAAAACATTACACATAAACATCATAAGCTAAGTAATAGGCATCTTGAATAGGAAGTTACGTGGTTATCCATATGTAAAATATTGAAAATAGTGAAAAGCGAACACAGGCAAAACATTACACATAAACAACATAAGCTAAGTAATAGGCATCTTGAATAGGAAGTTACGTGGTTATCCATAGGTAAATTTTTTGAAAATAGTGAAAAGCGAACACAAGCAAAACATTACACATAAACAACATAAGCTAAGTAATAGGCATCTTGAATAGGAAGTTAYGTGGTAACATCCATATGTAAACACTACCCACTTGAAGGAAAAACAGAGACTTCATTAGACAAGGAGCTGTAAAAACCATTCTCACAAAACTATAATACTAAGACMATGGTAATTTATGATTTGTCAGAAAAATAAGAAACAGTTAATGCACCGAACTTCACATAATCCGTAGGTACAATTCAACGTTTGTAGTGCACTCTGTGAATTTTAGAAACACTTAACTTTCTTATGGACTTGGTTTTCATCAATATTGTTCTAATTAATGTTGCGAGCAAGCTACATTCTGATTTCTATATACACTATATATACACACCCTAGTGCATTGTGGTCTAGCTTGGGTAAAAGATCCAGACACTTGCAATCCATTTCAGTTACAACCAATCCATTCAAGTCACATCCAATTTATCTCAATAGCATCTTAATGGAGGAAAATGAGTCGTAAAAAATCTTTAACGATCCACAGAGTCACCTATAGACACATGGTGTTTACAGCCCTTTGAAAACCCTTGGCCGCTGACCGGCTTCACAGGACTTCAACCAGTACCACAATCCAAAAATATATATAACTTACTTTTTAATACAAAATTTCGGAATAGAATCACTAGTCATTAATGATGAAATAAAAATCTTAGGATAAAAGCTGCAAATTCGGCGTAGAAAAACGTCTACGATCCGGACRATCCAGCAAACCGAAGTCCAGTYCATTCCATCTATGYACGGTTCCTGATTTTCCAAAAYTAAAAAWCACTCAAAATTCGGGCAWTTAGAAGAGGAAAACAAGTTTTAGAAGTTGGGCATGTTTTTGCTATACATTAAGATTATTCATGGCCTTCCAAAAGGTGAAAATTTAGAAATCATTTTTTTTTGTGTGTGATTCAAGATCCAGTCACTGACTGAGGCCCAGTCACTTGCAATCCATTCCAGTCACATCCAAGTAACATCCAATGTACCTCAATAGCATCTTAATGGAGGAACATCAGTCGAAAAAAAAATCTGTAACGATCCACAGAGTCACCTATAGACACATGGTRTGTACAGAAGACCATTGCCGCTTGCCGGCTTCACATGACTTACTTCAACCAGTGCCTCAATCCAAAACATTTAAAAAAAAATTTTTTTTGCATCTTTTCTTTCTTTCTTCTTTTTCCTTTTTTTTTTTCTTTTTGCATAAGAAAAGAGGGCCCAGAACAATTCCTCTTGGAAATCAATGCAAGGGGTCTATAAATCAGACATCTTCATTTGTTCCTTCTCCATATACCCAAGCAATATCCAAATGATTTCCATGTAGTACCAAGTAGCCAAGGCAATAACTGCCGGTCTGAGGGAAAACACGAAAGGCGCTAAATTAAAAATTGGTGTCATTCATAATGCTTGACTTCTCAAGGACYTATAAAAAGTCTTGAGTAGACTTATATAATATCCGGCGCCAACCAAACCATCTCTCACTGATCTCACGCTAAACACATCGAAAAGAAATAATTATACTAAAGCTGTGTTAGCGACAAGGAATTGTTTCTAAAAACAATTACATAGCATGAGAGGAGAAGAAGAAGAAGAGACGATGTCCGGCAAAAAGCAGATGTGTTTTTTGTATGACAGATTAAAAGCTTGAAGTCAAGACTAGTTCTGATCAAAAAACGTCAACTGTGGTGAGTTTATTTTATAAGTAATAAAAACAGAAGAGGAAAGGAGCAGTTTTATTTCTAATATAATCATATCCTTTTTGTAATCACTACCAAATCCTGCAATCTGATTGGTTCAAAGGAGTGCGATTAATTCCCAAATCGCATCCTTAGGAGTTCTTAATCGCATCCTAAAAATTTTCGTCGCGGTGGTGCGATTTTATAATCGCGCGTTTGATTTCAGACCAAATTGCACTCCACTCAGTTCAATTACTATCATTTATTATATATAATATTCCTTTTTTATATGTGCTAATAATTTTCGAAAGACATTTTAAAATGTTAGTTTAGCACTGCAGCACTCCATCCATCCATCCATCCATCCATCCAGGGCTACAGCCCACACTCCAATTAAGAAAAATCTTCTTCCGAAAATTGATTTGGTTATCACGATTGAAAAAAAAAGGGTGTCGGCCTCTTTAATCCTAAGCAGACATTGATAAATGCATAATATGTCGTTTTAGGCTTCATTTATTGGCTAGTGTTCTTTATGTGTTTTATTAACTTTCTGTTTCATATCCTGTTATGATTTTACTCTCTTGTTTGTCGTCTCCGGTGTCGTGTATGGGAGTACATGATATCAATCTCTCTCTCTCTCTCTCTCTCTCTCTCTCTCTCTCTCTCTCGTGCTCTACAGAAACCAATTTCTTCCAGAATGACTTGTTTTAGTAATGTCGTTTTAGAGTTTGTCGAGTCGCGGAATTGGAGTTAGGTTTACGTATCTATAGTGTTTCGGCTGGCAAGTCTTAAYGAGTACTTCGTCGTGATCTTAACGTAAAATTTTGAAAAATCAGGTATAAATCAATCCAGTCAATAATTTAAAAATATATATTTGAAAATTATATGACCGAGGAAAAAGGAAAACATAGCCATTTCAATGTTGCCAATTGAATGTCTTGAATGTACCGTAACGATATTAATACCGTTTTGATATTAATACCGTAACAATATCAATACCGTAAGCTTCCTGCGCATATTCCGGAACCACTCTTCATTTACAAAGTCGTTAGCACTCGCTTTGATGTTTTTGATATTAAGAATATATACCGCTACGATATCAATATTTGAGGAGGAAGGAAATTAAACCGGAGAACCTGGTGAAAAACCGTTGAAAGACAGGAGTTGAAAAACAAACAGTGGTGCTCAAAAATAATAGYGTGTCTAAGTACCGAGTCCACAGCACACTAACAGCGAACAACCATGAAGTGTTAAAATAAATAAGTTGATATATATCTATTACATTTATAAAAAGTACGATGCTATAGTTAAAGGAGATGACAGACAACAGGTTAAGAGGATGTGGCAATAGCAATTGCTGCAAGATGTATAGTCACGAAAATTTTGTTAGAAATTTAATAATTATATTTTTCTTCTTCTAGTAATTATGTTTTATTACACGCCTACATTCAGCACTCTCTTGAGTGTTCTTGTTCATAAAAATTGATGACAAAATGAATGAAGAATGCAATTTGAAAACTATCTGATGTGATAACGAACCTTATAACGTTAATAAGCCGCCCGTTCTATAAATCACTCCGTCACGTGACGTCAAAAAACAAGTTGCCTTAGAAAGATATGATAGATATGCATATATACCAGGGGTAAAAAACTATGTAAGTAAACCGACTAGCGAGTATAAATATTCCGAAATTGCAGTCAAGATTCATGATTCATAATGATTTAAAGTTGTCTTTGGCTTGTGAAATTTACAATTTTTTTAAACAGACGTTTCAGTCTAAACAAACACCTTTATAATTGTAACTGAAAATGTTTGCACGCTCGAGTTTTGAGGATCTTGTAGCGCGCGCAATAACGCTTGAATGTTGGGTAGAACGTTTTCTGTATATTATAGCGAGTATAATAACGGATTGATCAAAGTAAAGATTGGCAGATAGAAAGATAACATGTAACTGAAATTTAGTGATAAATGTTTTCTTTTCTAACCATTCGGTCGTTGAGTCCTTTATCAGAGATAAATTACATAGTGATTAACAGGAAAATGACTGGTGTTGCTATGATGATACTCCAGTACTTGTTTGTGTTACCTACATCATTCACTGTAGACTTTAACAGTCTAAAATAGAGGGACTGCCGCCTTAACACTTCCTTTAGTCCTTCCCTCCCCAGCCTCCTCCCCCAGGGACTTTTGAATCGTAACTAATCTTCCTCCGCCAAACGACACGGACAGACAGACAGACGGTGACCAAAGGAAATAGAGGGACTGCTCGCAGTCTACTTTTTGAGTCAAAACAAATGCAAATCCATGTTGGTACTCTCAGGGTTAGGAAAGTGGTTAATATATAATGAATAAATCCTAGAAAGTCGTAGGGAGTAAGTTGCTCGCAACATCAAATGCATCAACATCGGCGCGCAATGTTGCATGGCATCGTGTATCCGTAGCTTTAGATGTGATATATACGTTAAACTATAAAGCGTTCCTTTGTAGATGGCATCCAGGCTGGGTTAGATGTGAAGAGAATCAAACCACTGTATGAAACTTACGCCTTGTAGTTTGGAAAGCAAGACATAATGATAATGATTAAAAAAGAGTAAATTAAGAAATCAAGGTATGGTGACTCGCCTCTCACCTCCGGGGTCTGTGGTACGATTCCTAGCTGGACTCTATCGGCATAACATGTGAATAGAGTTTGTTACATCTCTCCCTTGATTACAGGGGTTTTCTTCAGGTTCTGAAGTTTTTATCACTCCGCAAAACCTAACGATCTAAATTCCGATTCGATCTGTTAGTTAGCCATACCCTAACTTTGATCAGTAGCTCAGAGGTTGTTTCAGGGTTCGATCTGTGAGTTAGCCACGCCCTGACTTAGATCAGCCCAGAGGTTGTTTCAGGGTTCGATCTGTGAGTTAGCCACGCCCTGACTTAGATCAGCCCAGAGGTTGTTTCAGGGTTCGATCTGTGAGTTAGCCACGCCCTGACTTAGATCAGCCCAGAGGTTGTTTCAGGGTTCGATCTGTGAGTTAGCCACGCCCTGASTTAGATCAGCCCARAGGTTGTTTYAGGGTTCGATCYGTGAGTTAGCCACGCCCTGAGTTAGATCAGCCCAAAGGTTGTTTCAGGGTTCGATCTGTGATTTAGCCGTGCACTGACTTAGATCAACGTGCAGTCCATAGGTTGTTTCAGGGTTCAAAAAAAACTCCAAAGGTCTATCCAGTATTCAATTCAAACCCTTTTTGAGATAGAAATATAATGTATTAGACTCATTGTATAGAGTGCCACTTGGGGCACCAAGAGCTATCTCTCGTAAACCTAAACAACAATTCAGCAAATTAGAGATTAATTGAATTCCACTTTCCAGAATATATATGTCGTCACTGTGTGAAAGAGGTTTTCTTCATGGGAGAGGATATTTTTCTCTGACTACATGTAATATTGTTTAAAAATCATGCATTTTTAATTCTATTTCCCGTAGAATATCTGGTTGTCTAAAAAGCTTTCAAGTAGACAAACTTCGAAAAACATCTTAACATTTAGTACTGAGGACAATGAMGCATTAGGACAATGAAGCATTCTTCCTGTTCAGTTTTCCTTAAAACTGTTCAAAAATTAATATAATAATAATTATTGATAAATTTATTTTTAAATTTCTATACAAAGCAACTCTTTTTTATTTTTTATTTTTGATTAATCTACTCCTCCTAACCAGATCCGAGGTTTATATTTCAATGAGGAGACACTGAAAACGAAAAACGAAAAACACTTGTCCTTGTCTCATCGTTATGTTGCTAGAAAACTATTCTACTTCAGCAATCTCCCTACTCAAGATCTTCTACATTAAGTAGTTGGTAATTTAAGGACTTACTTTTTATGAAAACTTAAAATTTCGGGTATGCGGAGTAGAGATTATTTATATTTCTTAAATATAATTTTTATTAGGTAATTAAAAAAAAAATTCATTTATTTTTGTTTCATTTTTTTTCTAATATCAATTCAATTTTCCCCCGGTTAAGACTGTACTGGCCACACACCTGGCCCATGGAGTGGGCTGTGTTCTGAACCAAGTCTTACTGACCGCACCTCGTGAATATTTCAGTTTGATTTGAAAATCTATTGGTAAATTACTGTATGAAATATTTATCTGATAATGATATGCAGTCATAACAAATAATAAACCGATACCACACTTTAGTTCAGTCAGTTCTGGAAAATTCCTTTAAATYTAAGTTAATGAAATGCGGTGTGTTATGACACGCCGCTCCTCATTTTTCATTTCTCATTAATAGCCAACTACCATCTCTATTATTTAACTGTGAAGTGCTCTGACATAATCAAAACTATCTGCATTAGGCCTAGGACAAACGTCGAACTTTCCATGCACCGAACTCATTAAAAACAAGCTTTTTGCAATACTGCACATGGGTTAATACCAGATTGTTCCTTTGGTTCAACCTGATCCATTTTTTTAATGCAGTTTTAAAATAAGTCATTATTATTATTATTATTATTATTATTATTATACAAGTTGATAATGAGGCGGGATCCTTTGATGTAATTAAGTTCGGTGCATGGAAAGTTCGACGTTACCCCTAGGCCTTAGTTATTTATTTTCAAACTACGTCTCTTTTTGTCGAAGACCATGACTACTATGCTAAAAGCAAAGCAGAAGCTAGTTTGAAGAATTACTGAAGGTGCATGTAAAACCCAGTTTTTGAAGAGTCTTCAAACATCTCGAGCTGTCAATCAAAGACCACGTTTACCAAATATGTCGGCTATTCTCAAAGTGCAACAGTGAATTATAGATCGACTTTAATAATTTAATGTAATTTAATTTGATATCCTTGTCTTACTGGTAATAGTTTTTAATTCAACACCAAAGTACTCTTACATTTTTAATGATGAGTATTCTAGAATGTTCGTACACCTGGAATATTTTTAAAAAAYCATAAAAAATGCAGAATGTGAAATTTTATTGTATTGCAAAAAGCTTGAAAAGTGGAAGAGTTGAAGGATAAAGCATTCAGTTCATACATGTCACAGTTATGGATGTACGACACTGTGTTCAGCAACACGAAAGAAAACCTTTTCCGTCATGTTTATTTTCCTTTCGTGCTACCAGTTCTGACGTAAACACGAGCCGTTCCTAACTGACTTGCGCACGCATGCAGTACTAGAAAGTCGGAAAAATAAGGTACGAGCGTCGAGAGATATTTTAAGATCGATAGTTCAAATATAAGTGAGTACTCGCTGTGCACAACTGCATGGTTAGCTTATTATTCATGTAAAAGCTCCAAATCCTTAACCCAATCAGTTTAGAGCTACATACTAAATATTAACGCCGAATCTTTATCAGTTTTTCTATTACGTACCTTTGATTCTAGATATGTGTATAGATCGATCTGTTGGTATACATTTAAAAAAGCGGRTGTAAAAGAATATGAAAAAAAGCCGCTTTATCGCTCTTCTTTGGAAAAATTGATCAAAACGTCAATATCAGCATATCTAATCCAGCCGGCGGCCATGTTGGTGCCAGCGGTCATCTATTCAAGTCTTTCTTTTTCGTATCGTATTCCCCTCCCATTGGCTAGACGCATTATTTACTTGCGCTTCCAATTCTTATTTGTATATTAAGGTTATTGTGTTGCTGAGGCTCCAGAAAGGACTCTTTCTGAGGAGCAAGATTCTTATCTGCTGCGAATTTGACTGGTGTTTCCGGGATGTTGACTGTTTGTATGGTTTGGTAGTGAATCCAACAGCTGGCACTTTTAAAGGAATCAAAGGCATACTTCAAGAACTGGTTTTGTGACGCCGACAACTGGTTAGACAGCTCGTAACAAAATTTAAGCGCTTGACAACTTTTGGAGACATGAGTCGCTGATGTACAGCGGTAAGGAGAAATAGTTTTGAAGACATTGATAGATTTATTGACTCCCATTGCATAATTTTATACTACACGATTCAAAATATCCGAGACTTCGTTTCATGGACAAGAATGAACCAAATRATCACTTCAAGGTAAGACTTCACATTCACGACGTCCATCTTTCATACTAGCAATGCTTAARTTTATAACAGTCTGTAGTAAGCTATTTGGTTGATGTAATATCTAACGATTTTTACCGACCAAATAAACGTAAACGTAGACATAGGTTGGTTTAATTTCTTGTATGGTATATTAGGCCGTGATCATGAAACTAGAAGACCCTGTATTCTAAGAGTGCATCACCTGATAATCATCATGGGTCGGTGCATTTATGATATTTTTCGTTCCTATTTATTTCTCCTGATTTTTGAGCATGGATAAATGTTTTCGAATGATAGGCCATTTCACCTTTTGCGTAGTATTTTTAACAGTCACCAATCGTAGTAATGGAAAAATATTTTCTCGAGGAGGTGATTGATCCTCAAGGAAATGACATTTAATCATAAAATTGGTCAGTTCATGTGCAAAATTCCTGGCATTTCTAGCCAATCAAAATGTCATAAAAACGCATGCGCAGTGCCAGTTTAGAATTCTTTTACATTTTTGTCTTGTTTCTTCACTTTTTTCTTTTCTTTCCGTTTAATTGTTTACTTGTTTTTTGTTTGTTTATGTTTTCGCGGGTCTTTTGCGTATGTGTGCATTCCGCACTAGAATAATAAGTAGGAGATCATTTACGTCCCCAAAATCCGCATTCCTCTTCGTCTCTCGTATCTGATTGGCTAATACGAGAAGCGAAAGCCACCGAAAAAAAAAAAACACAATGAGGGGGAAGGGGGTGGGGGGAATTAGGATGTGAAATTGCTTGAAGGTGATATAACTGATCATTCGTTTAAAACCAGTCGTACCAAAATGGACCAGAATAAATTGAAACTTTATATGTATTTGAAAAACTGCCGAAATTAATGATCTCAAGCTAACTTTGAAGACATCAACTTGCCAAAAGCTACTAATTAATATCGAGTTCGAGCATGCGCAGAAGTTTGTTTTTCGTCTACCCCACTGCGATGGAAGTTATTAATAACGAATAAAAAGATAATTGAGTCACTTTTTGAAAGGGTTTTCAAAGTAATTAACAAATCCGCGAATCCCACATTGATAGAGTTTTTATCTAATAAGGATATACGCAGTTCTGCCAAAAAACGAACCACAAATCCATGCCTACGATCACTCRGAAAAGTGTTTGTCTAAAACACGATTCTGCCCTTTTTATCTTACTCTCGGATTTCAGTGACGTCTTAGACGTGTGTGGTGGTGCTATCTCAGTCCTAGTGCCATCAGCTCAGATGTTTCTAAGCGTTTCTATCCTTATCAATGTTCAGTCTATTTTTTAAAGTAGGTTTTTAACTCTTTGTGTAAACTATCGTGAAAACAATCTTGGCGTTTTACTGGGGGGTGAGTTAGCGATTGGCCTTGTTGTGGCGCCTTTGCCTTTGTCGAAGAAGGAAGAGACATCTTATGATGTCGATCGAACGCAATTCACAGTCAGTCTCCAAAAAAAGACTCCAAATCCTTGATATTGCTATTACAGCCTTCGATGACTGCATTGACACCAAAGMTCAGATATTTTATAAACAGGTTAGTTAGACGAAGACACTTTATGCTATTGCCCCTTCTGTGAGGCAAGTGAGACGAATGAGCATTACACGCGCAGATCCCATGTAATTCCTATTGCATTCTCCTTAATGGATAAGTCAGACTGATAAACACGATGGTACTCACCATGGTGTCAATTTTTACTGGTATTTTTCTTCTTTCCTTCAATACACCTGAGAAAAAGAGTGATGTAGATCATAAAATAATTTATTTTAAACCTAAATGCAATTTTAGCTTTAATATGTTGCCAGGTACGATCAGCGGCATTCAGTATTTCCATGGGAAAGTATTTCCATTTAAGATGTGTCACTACCCCTCCCCCACGAGTAGACAAACACTCACGCACGCGCAACGCGATATCATTCTTTCTATGGAAAAAGCTATTTGTCTCTGGCAAATTCTTGTTCTTATAATAAGAAGATACATAATCGAGTCTTCGACCAGAATTTTAGAAGCTTTAAAAAGCCATGTATGATGCAGATTGTTAAGAGAAAATGGCAAGAGTCGAAAAATGTCGATTCTAGACAGGTTGTTTTGGTATGAATATCAAGAGTAACAAAAAAAAAAAGCCAGTGCAATCTAAGATTAGGGCGGGACTGGAAAAAATGACATAAAATGCGCGGGGCTATGCCACTACTATAAGAAACAAACGACCCGATCAGGAATACCAAGCAATATACGATGAATAGATTATTTCCCTAAAAAAACTCGACCTCTGTTGATATATTCAGGATATTCTAAAAAAAGTTTTCGTTATCAGAAGGAAAATGATTTTGTCTTATACCCTAATCAATACTCATACCCTATAGTCTTGGTTTTTATTCATTCATTATAGCAAATAGCCTTAACTTAGAGTAGCTTTGATGCAACCTTGTAAATGTAGGGATGGTTGTTCTGCTGGTGATTCCATATAAGAGAGAGAGAGAGAGAGAGAGAGAGAGCGGATGGACGGACGGACGGATGAGATAATAGAGAGATGGAAATAAAAGGAAAAAAGATAAATAAGGAACAGAATTTTATAAAGCACACACAAAAAAGTCTCCCCTCCAGCGCAAATTAAACTCTTCCAAATATCAATATTGATACAACGCAAATCCTCAAAAGAACTTTAATTCGCAAACATTAAGAAAGCCTAACGGGTAGTTAAAAACCCAATTACCCCAACGGCTTTTACAAAGGCTTACCGCTTAATGCAATATTCGCGTCTTTAGACAAACCTTTGCCGTATCAAACGCTGTCAGTATTGATAAAATTATTACCTTGCTTTTGGCGGGAGAATAAGCGATATCTCTGTGCTGTCGATCTATTCAATCTTCAACGAGCAGTTGTTTATCTAGACAGCTCAAATCCTTCCACAAAAACAGATCTAACAAAACAAGGACGCAGTTTAACATAGAGAGTACAATATAGTCAAAATCATAATAGTATATTAATTAGGATGTGTGGATGTTCGAGCTACCCGTACTGCGCATGCGTGAGCGGACATAATTTTAGATTGTAGTGATAAAAAGTACTGAATTAAATTATCGGTAAAAGCTGTTTAAAAAAAACTGCAAAAATCTAGTATAACAGTGGTATAAACAATATCTACTGAACGAAGCTTTTAAAGTAAGTGTATTTGAATTGGTAAATAAATATTATCGTATTATAAAGGTGCAAAGGTTTTATTCTTTCGAATCAATATTTAATGTCAATATTTAGCTAGAAAAAGTAATATTCAATATATAGACGACGTTAAAAAATGAAGTCTGGTTTCAATACATGATTTTTTTCGTGTTATTTTTCGTGTTTTAACATTGTTGTTGTTGGTTTTTATTTTCAAACCCCCCTTTTTTTTTTACTATGGTTTCTTTTACGTTTTTTTTTTTTTTTTTTTAAAAAAAATTTTTTTTACATATTTCCATTCGTTTCTCCCAACTGGAGTGTTTCTCCTCTATTTAGGGAAGCACGGGTGACGTAGCGGTGTGAGCGCTCGCCTCTCATTAATGCGACCCGACTGTTCGACTCCCGCCGGGCTCGGTGTTGTATATGAGTAGAGTTGTTTGTTGCTTCTCTCCTGTGATTCGAGGGTTTTCTGGGTTCTCCGGTTTTCTTCCCTCCGCAAAAATCAACTCCTAAATTCCAATTTGATCACGGAATGAGGGCCACAGGTTTGTTAGCCACTGGCTATTAAGTGCTACCCTCGTGAAAAAAGGACGTTTTTTTWATTTTTTAATTTTTAATTTTTTTATTTTTTATTATATGCTTAATCAGTGTTATAATAGTGCATTTACAGTGGACTTTTTAAGTTTTTTTTTTGAGTTAAAGAAGGATTGCCTCAAAGACAAAGTATTTTAAACCTCATAAATCAACTCAGCTTTCAATTAAGTACGCCTCTTCCTATGTGCTTTTATTTTATATTGCTTTTTTCTAATTAGTTTATCTTGACTTTTATACTATTTGCATTTTAGTCTAGTCCATCAACATCGTTTAATTTAGCTYGGCTGCTATTTTCTATAACATATGTATAAGTAATTTTCCTCCTCAAATCGGGTTTTGATCCCGAAAGCTAGCTATTTTCCTGTGTTTGTTTAATCACATCATAGCGCACTAACACACCAAACCTAGCTTCCTTATTTACTTTCCAAGCGGTTTTATCGCAGTTGCTTGATTAGAAAACCAAACAGATAGCTTCAATATGTCAGTTTTTCCACTAAAATTTACCTTTAAAAAAATATTTTTAACTGGAAAGCACAAACAAGAAAAATAGTTGGCTAATTCCTACTTTTATAGTTCATATTGCCTCTACCATTTTGCTTATTTAAAACTAATATACGTCAGAACGAAGAACTGGTTGCAAGCCCTTTAGTGGTTTTAACGGTAGACAAAGGATCGATTGGATTCTCTACGCATAACAAACTGATGCTAATTAAGAAATTTAATCCATTTTATAGCAAAAAGATTTCCTCTGTTTTGCGGTATTGGATATTTACAATAAACGCTGCTCATACAATACTGTTTTTTAGCACTGTTTTTATGTTGTTTTTTTACTGTGAATCAAGAATGATGGATTGATGCATAGACTTGACTTTGTGAAGCGAATAATCATCAACTATTTACCAAACATCTGCTAGTTCATTCATAACTTAAAGAGATACTTAGGAATTCTCGATACAGACAGTAATTTCTACTTAAAAATAAAGAAACCAGAACTCATTGTAAAAGATGACAAGATTCCTAAGATCGATATTTATTATATATCTTAACGAATACGCGTAGTTGTTCTTCTGTCGTTGATGGTAATATTTGTATACTTAGAGAGATAAAAAATACTCGAAAATTGTCTTCCATTTTTGTCAAACAATGCACTGTGCGCCTACATCTAAGAAATCTAAATTGGATTCAGTCGCAAAATATTGCTGTATCTATATCACTGTGTGTCTTATATTTAACCCACATCGATGAAAACCGTTGTTTGTCCAGATCGAGTACAAGAGTATCCCACAGAGCTTCCTACTGACAAGGATTACTGAAGCGGATTTATTCCTCGGTGGGAAACTGAGAAACGACTTTGTGATMAGATATGATGGTTTAACTAAGTCTTATCGGTTGTTTCTTTTTTTTCAAGTTGGAAAGACATGATATCCAAGCCCAGTTAGAGTACTGACGCGTAGTGTTAGAGTTAAGCTTCCAAGAGGGCAAGTATGTTTAGTAAATTTTATCGTTTTTTCTGTAGAAAACTATATACCATTATTTCGCGGACAAGTATTGAACAGAGATCTCCATTATCCACTAGAAGATACCTTCTTAAATCGACTACTGTACTGTAAGATATTCTTATCTCACACAGTTAGCTTTTTAGCTCGCTATTCCTCTCAAACGTGCGAGACGACAATCAAACGATCATGCAGTGAATAGCAACACCTTGTTAAATATGATAGACCCGATAAAAAAAAGTTATACAGGAAAATAAGAATCGCAAATATTAGATAGCTTTCGACGAAACTCCACGGAAGTGTATTCCGTTAATGTGTTATTGGATTGGATTGTTTCTGCAAGAAACGTTGCTCATTAGGCTCCAAATTGAATCAACTATGTAAAGTCTTCATATCACTACTTAAAATTTTTTTTCCTTGATTCAAAATTGAGCAAGTTGAAGTTCGTGACTAAGCTCGTGAATTGCATCCTGTTATAAATTTTTGTTAATAAGATGTCTAATTTCCAGATCATAGAACAAAAACACCCAAGAATGTTCTCAAAAAGGGGGAATATTTTTGCTTTTTTTATCTTCTCCCTTTCTTAGTTTTGATAATCCAGTGTAAATTAAAGTACAATATGCCAGAGCTCAATTCCACAAAATAAAGGTAGCCTTTTGTAAAAAAAGCAACAAATTTACAGAGAACAACAAACGAAGCGAGGGTTATAGAATCCATAGCATGTTACCCAAATACAATACGTTAGCTACGAGAACTCGTCGCATTCCTAATCGCTAAGTCTCTGTTACATTTGAGACATCGTCGTGGATAAGATCGTTTTTTTTTTCTTTTTGGTGATAAAATGATAAAATCCTGATTTTTGATCAAGATCGGAGTGTAACGTCCATTTCCGTTCTTCTTAAAGAAAATTAAAAAGGTTTGCCGTAATTAACCAATCAAATTGGTTTTTACCACGTGACTCTTGAAGCACCCTCTTCAATCTTCTAAGCAATTCTCAGCCGACTCTTTAGTCACGGTTTTCGACTATTATATAGCTCACGATGAGTGCCAAAAAAGTTTGAAATGAGTATATATTTGAAGTGAAATGAGATAACTCTTCATAACTCTTTAATAACGGATCTAATAGCTTTCCTACTGTAGTCTTATCTAAAAGGTCTTACCAAAAAACCTCTTAAATCTGTCAATTAYCTTATCCATTTTGCCTCCGGGTAAACAAAGCAATTCAACGATTAACACGAGGAAAAAAATATCCATGTTATATATATATTGGTTCGTCTTGGCGACTTTGAAGGAGGTGTTGAACTGATGCATGCAGAGTTTCGATGTAGTGGAGAATTATAACTGGTTTACGTTGATACTTCTTGGAAGGATAAAAAAGCGTAAGTTTCTTAAAGGCAGGGTACAAGTATAAGAAATTATACTGGAAACAGCGGTGTTATAGCAGCACTAAAATGATATTTACAGTTACAGTATCTAAGTGTATTATGCATAAACAGCTTGGTATCTGGAAAGCCATTTTGATGTCACAATATTACTGTAGTTTTTCAGTCATACAAAAAAGATTCTTTTGGGAAACCATTTCTGTGCTAACGTGCAGTTAGTCATTAACGCATGACTGTTCAATTGACCGAAAGGGGATTAAGCCATGGGATTAAGCCATTTCAAGTACTGTTGGCAAAAGCCCGGCTTTAAATGAATGAGATGGACATTTTTATGGGAAGCCAATTTAGTGTAACGGCATGTAAGTAATACATTTTTGTATATTTTTATTAGACATGTCATCGTTTTACGAAGCAGCTGTTGTCGAATAAAACATAAGAAAAACGGCACATTTGACAGAAACTAATAGCAAAACTAAAGCGAACAGCGGAAGAGACACAGACAGAGGAAGCCAAGAGGGTGAGTTGGAATAATTATTAAAATATCGAAAAGTTTTGAGACGCCGGGAGCAATCATTTTCTTTAAGCGCCGAGTCTAATTTTGGCGCATAAACCGCGAAAAATGGCGGGGAAAACGAAAGGTGACAAAATAATTATCGTCATTATGAAGTCTGACGTCAGGGAGTAAAATCAATACTGAATTCAGTTGCGATGAAAGCTGTTTTAAAAAGCCACTTGAACTGATAAGAGTCTAGGTTTCTGCTTAGCGCAATCTATATTCTATATAAACTAGAGAAAATCGAACTAGGACGAACCAGACAAGTGCAAGTGCGCATGCGCAAAATCGCGGACGAGAATAATGGGCGCGCAATGCAACATGGATAACAACCTAAAAAAAACAATAAACAACCTAGTTAAACAACCGTACGTGATAAATATGAAGATAATTCTAACATCGAGAGATAGAAGAACAGTCAGCCTACATTAGATCATTTTAAGCTAAGGAAACATCGCAGACTAAAGATCTAAAGTCGTTTATCGCGACAGGGTTAAAATCAGGCGCAGCTGATCTGTGTTTGCAATATCACAGCTAAGAGTTAACTGATAAATAGCAATTTCACGACCACGAAAAAAATTTCTAACAAACGTGTACTGTTACTTAAAACCATTGAACAGCATTTCTAACACCTTTAAATAAAGTCTGAGACAAGCTTAAGTATGAAAGCCGCGGCGGTTCTGATATTAAAGGGGCACTTGGATGAAAATGGATGAAAATTGGAAATGACTTTAAACTTAGTTAAACGTATCTATATGGAATCAATAGTAGCCAAGCAACATATTTTCTTCACAGTAAAATGTAGCGGATAAAAATTATAAGTTTAATTCAGCATCTAAATTGTGAGTAAATGACGTCATTTACTCAACCCTATTGTTCTTTCTGCTTTTAAACCAAAATATCTCAATAGCAAGTGGCTCCTAGGCTAAAATGTTCACTAATCTGGTTTACATTATCATAATTGAGTCACATTATCCTCATATACTTCAAATACTCGGACTTTCAAAAATTGGGGCGTTTTCATACAAGTGCCCCTTTAATTATTTTTCAGCAAATACAATTCATGGTGGAGTCTACTGCTATAAGGGGTTTTAGAGTACCTCTCGTTCAGCCAAGCCAAGTAAGACAACACTCAACAATAATAAAATACAATATAGGTTTCCTTTGGACCCATTAAACGGTAGYGTACGGGCAACAATATGGTACACTTTTGCGCAACACAGATTTCTTGACAATATACTAAATGTTGTTAATATTTTCATTGATTTTTGCGCCACAGATTTTTATAATAGCCCGAAGGACCGAGAAAGAGAAGAAAAATATGGCGCGCAAAAATTATAAAATTAAAATTATTAATGATCTATAATATTATCTAATTGATTCAATACTGATCTAAGGCGGTGGTTATAAAATCTGGAGGGTAATGAATGGCTGAGTGGCTCTAATGCTGCTCTACTAGAAGCAAAATTAAAAGGTATAATGCTCGTTAACTCTACGGTAAAACACCTAAAAAATACTTTAATTCTGTTTCTCTCTATGATTATTATTCTAATTATTATTATTTATTATCGTAATTAATATTAATTATTTTACTATTTCGTTATTCCTGTTATTATTATTATTCTTGATTATCATCATCATCTTCATTTTTATTATTATTATTATTATTCCTTTATCGCACAGCAAAACAAGAATATTACTATTATTATTATTATTATCATTCATTCATTTATTTAATTTATTTGTTAGCTATTCAATTTTTTCATTCATGATATCCTAACTGCCGGTTACCAACCAAACCGCAAAACCTAAAGGGTGCCAAAACATTCTTATTTTTGTCAAACTTGATTAACACTTTAACAGACAGCTTTAGCGGTGGTAGATTGCTTGCTTAATGAAGCGCGCACGCACCGTTATCCTTTAAAACTTCTCTTACGCTGTTAGGTTCGATCTTCCAACCCATCATGACATGTTAATAGTGTTTGTTTGTTCTCTCCTGTGCTTCGAGGGTTTTTCTCCGGGACGGGTTTTCAGTTTTCCCTCCGCAAAAATCAATCTAAAGTTGACCATTGAACGAACGTTGCAAGTTTGTTAGCATCTGAACTATCAATGTTACTCTCATGAAAAAAGGGCAAAGAATTTTTACAGATCATTCTACAAACATAATTAACTGGTTCTAAAGAATAAATTCTCACCGGTTGAAATTTTCTCAGAAATGAATTTTTTAAACAGCAAGACAAAATGAACCTGCTATTTCGAATTGTTAAATATTCATCTTAAGTCCGGCTCAGCAAGCTCTTAATGTCAAATTTTGATGTTTTTAATAGCCTTTGGTCGTACAAGTCGACGCATCATTATATCAAATCGTACTCTAACTTCTTTGTCAGAGTTTAATGAACCAAGAAAAAATAATAATGAAAAAACATGACAATTCTAGATCATCTCAAGGCTACTGTTATGAGTTTGACTGAGGAAGCATTCAAACAAAACGTCCATAAATTCGGAGCTTTCTTGTCGCCATTAAGGAATTTAAATATCAGTGCGCCTTAAGGGAATTGGTCGTGGGAATTCATCGTGGGCATTCTCGAAAAATGCATTATATGGATTAAAATGTGTGGGAAAAATCAAATCAAAACATTAATTTATTATCTGGACCTAAAACCCGTAGAACGGCTGTTTAGCCCGATTTGTGATTCTATTAACCAAGAAAGTTTCCAACGGGGTGAGTATTAATTGTTTGCTGAAGAAATATTGACAATTCGTGGGCTAGAGGACCCCACTTCTTGGTAAGACCTCCAACAACACGCTAATGGAACGGTTTTTTAAGAATTGACATGGTTTTAAGATCCGAACAAAAAAGCTTCTTTTTTTTTTTTTTTTTGCTGGAGGCACCATCCGCTACGCCGACGTTCAACCGGTGTTTCTCTAGGTATTTAATTGGATAAAGCTAGTTTTTTCGATAACTTTTATTATTGGTGGAGAGCACATACCTGTGATTGGCTTAGGGATGTACAAAAGGAATCGCTSAGGCGTCGGCAGCACATCGTCTATATGTCGAAAGTAAGAAGAAATTGAAGGAAATGAAACGTTTATGGTCGAGCGTGCAACCTAAAGAATTTATTCCAATCCAGGTAATCCTTTTCTTCTTTGCTTAATTTAATCCTAATTACCATTGAGAAGGAAAGAAAGCCGCTAGCGTTAGATGTTCGACATTACGACCATAGTATATACATTATATATATGGGAATGACAAGTTACTGATCACTATTTGGTGGTGGTCAAAAAAAAAAAAAAAAATCCTATAAAGTATTAATTACATTCAAAGTGTCTTTGATTAAGTTTAGTCTTTTCGCCTTAATTCTCTCCTTTCTACAGGATTCCCACCCGATTCTTTTTCCTTTTCACTATTAAAAAAACCTAGGTCTTGAGGATTTCCACGTGTACTAAGCTAGAATCCCAAGATTTCACAATCATTCTTTAGGAGAATTATTGACGCCCTCATTTCGCAGACGTTTATAATTACAGAAACTAAAATGCGAAATTTGCGCAGGATCCTATAGAGTCGCCTAACATACGCGGTTATTTCGTATCATAAACGAAAGTCTTCTCATATAACAGCATACTTAGTTTTGCCAAATGTTTGCAGCCCGCAATGATAATATGCTTGATAATTATCATAATCACTGAATAGTGATCAATAGATTTTATTAATTAATTCAGAATTATTTATTAGAACATTTAGCTATATGCATAATGACCAGTTAGAAACTGTTATCGATATTCATTAGTAATACTGACCAAAAAGAAATGATGATGTACGTTCAAATGCTGCTAGTTATTCAGAAGATCAAAATTTATGGATATTTATCAGCACATTTAGTGCGTTCCAGACCCTCTAAAATTCTAGCGATATATAATATTATCGTATAAATTCCAAAAGCCGCCATTTTGTTCCCACAAAGGGGGGAAGGGGGGAGCATGGTCCCCCTCCCCCCTACGCTCTCGACAAGCTATTTATATTTGATCGAAGAAATCGTAATTAATACAAAATTTTGAAAAAACAATGCGGATTCATTTTTCGTCTCGGATTCTGCTTCGAAAAGACCATCGGAAATGAAGAAATCCTGTAAGCTGTTTTGTTTCTCTTTTTTAAATTACGTACCCCCTCGTTAAAATGACAGGCCGTTACAAAAGATATTACTATAAAAGCCTTAATGGAAAAGCATGATAGCTTTAAGTGGTGCTTTGTAAGTTAGATCAGACTGATAGCATATTTTTCGATTTTCTGTCATTTCCTTGTGTGACAGAGTCAGATCTGTTCTTACAGTCTAGAATGAAAAAAAGGGCTCACAAAACGCTGTCAGATTTTAGTGAAATATAAAATTCAGCTGGCTCCGTAAAAAAAGTCTTTTTCTCTTCTCTCTCGATTTTATCTCTCTTCTCTCTTGCATAACCAGATCAAAAAATGTGTATCAAAAATTTTCCTAGATTTGCAAAGAGGAAAAACAAAATTTCCTTTCTCGGTCTCTTTCTTTTCCCCTCACTTACATAATCAGAATAAGCGAAATTTCGCTTCACTTCCGCAAAAATGTATTTCTCGTTTTCTTATTCTTCCAGTCTCATTCTCAGTTATACTTTAAGATCGTTTTAAGATTCACGTCAGAAGCAAAACAAAGTGGGATGATTTCTTTTCATTTGTTTGAAAGGTGTGAAAACAATAGTGTAGCTAATGTATCTTAGTTATAGAAGTAATAAAATATTTATATCAACAATGTATATAAAGTTAATGTATCAGCAAACCGCCCGCGAGGAGAAGCATGCCATTTAATGCCTGTGCCTATATTGAAGTCTATATAATGATATAAAAATATGTGACTTGAGCTTTATTTCAGATGGTCGATAAGGTTTCTATGGGTATCCTGTAAGGATCATGTCAAAAGACGAACTTCACATTAGGTTCGACTCATGTGAAGTTCGATGATTGGGGAGAATGTATATTTATGTTTTTTTAAATGAGTCATCATAGGTTTCTGGAATGGTAACAATTCTATTATACGAGTTTAAACGAAGCTAGTTTTTCCTTTGTTTTCTCCCTTGTCACAAAACTATTTTCTAGATCTTTATTTCGTTTTCACCGTTCGTGAAAATCGAGATGTGAGTCAAGTGTTGYGTGAAGCGATGAAATGATTAATGTATTTGGAAAACTAGCCATGACGGAAGCCCCCCCATAGGTTGTCTCGCGCTGTCACTGCTTGTACAAATGTTGAATCATTCAAGTGCACCATTGTATATCGCTTAAGATTAATTACTAACCGGTAAAAGTCCAAGGCAGTTACTTAAAAACATTACGAACAAAACCCTAAAAATCCGTTAAAACCACAAGTTCTAATGAATGATTTTAATGCACATAAAAAGCATCTTTTAGAACCGCGGACGGAAGTTATTCGTATAGGACAAAAAATTTGATAAAGAAATTATATCATTGATGACTTCATCTGGTTAGACAATTTCTGTCGATTTGAACTCGTTTACCCCAAACATCTTTTTTCTTTAACCTTAAGTGATCAATTAAGTTCATAAAGGCTAGAAAGGAAGGCGGCCTCCTCAAAGATCAAATAAAGTCCTTGATAAACAATACTAACATTTGTTCTATTTTTATTAGTAGTATTTGTCGCTCGTTCTTTTACGGGAAGTCTGAATCAAGGAAATTTTCCGGGAAAAAATGTCCTTTGATATTTTTCAACGTGTTCAAAAAGGGGAGACAGAGGAATAGGAATTTATCTTTGAATCAATAAGTCGATACAAGAGAGTTTCTTTGACGAACAGGGTTGTATTTTATCAAGTAGTCTTTTAAAAATATTATTAGTATTTAATGGCCGATTCACTGCGGGAGGGACTCCTGTGGGTCGAGTTTTATTGTTCAACGTTCATGAAGAAATTTATGCGTTAAAAGATACTAGCCTTGTTATGTGGCGGCCATGACTGGGATTGGTTTCTGATGCGACTTTGGCGCCCCATGCGCGCGACAATTACAATCCACTTAGGCTATATTCAAAAGCGCCTGGCAAAGAAACCGAAAAAGAATATCAAAAAAGAGAAAGGAAAAAGAAAGACGCACGGAAGCCTTTTAGTAGCAACCACTTCTTTTATAGTAACCTATGCCACGAGTACAATGGTTTTGGAGTCAATAAGACGTACCATAAACACAAGCATTTTAAGATGTTAGATCCAATTGTGATTTCGTTGGCGCCCTTAGAATATTACATCAGCTATATCCAGTGAATTAGACTTCATGGCTGAGAGTTATCCTTACTATACTACTTAACACGACTCAGGCAGGTATGCGCATTAAAACCGCTTCTAAATTCATTACATATTTAGTAAATCCTGTTTATATGGTAGTAGCCAGATTCAAACAATAGAAAACAAAGGAGTTTGAGCGTAATATTACTAAATACGCTAAAATGTATTTCATAGGTTTATGAAAATCACTCTTTCTCTCTCTCACTCTCTMTATATATATGTTCATATATTCATATATTCCCATCATTATTTTTATATTTGCTATTTTTTTAATTAATCAATTAATTTATTTTTTTATTTTTTTATTTTGAATCTAYTTTTGAAAGACTAAACTAGTGGGCAGTTTTTTGAAAGGCTAAACAAGTGAGCAGCACGGATAGTAAAGGTAAAATAACTTTAATTTCCTACGCGTTTCGACTGACTAACGCAGTCTTCATGAAAACTTGCAAATACGTTAGAACGAAACTGTCAGAATTTTCATAAGGYTCTCAAACATCTAGACCCAAGTTGTTTAGAAAGAACCTATAAAAAATTCAAAAAAATTTCAAAATCAGACAAAACAAAATCGTGCAAAAACACGAACAGACACAGAGATAAAAGAACAAGAGTGTTTGTGCTAAAATACCCCTCAGAACGCTGGAAATTGCACTTGAGAAGTCTAAAATCGTAAAACTGAATGATGAAGCTTCTCGTCTCGGTTAATGGTATGTGATCAAAACATGATAATGGCACGCGATTTTTTGAAATATTATAAAGACCTCAAAATCTATAGAACAAATTCCGTCAGTACGTCCACTCTCAGTTCAAGAACGGGATCCCTATATAGCTTTTTTATTTGCGTCAACAACCATGACCACAATTTTGTGTAGTCAAGCTTTATTTCATAACCAGAGCGCGATATTTCCGGGCCGATCCACTGTTCGCTTTCAGTGCACTCTGCATGTCACTAAAGTAATCTGTATCTTATATGCAGCCTGCTACGTCTGTCTTTCATTAATATCCCTGTAGTTTAATAATCTCTACACACGAGAAGTACTTAAACGACGATAAGATCGAAAACAATCACTTAATACGTTTCACTGACTTAAGAAGTCTCTTATTTCCGAGGAGAACTTAACACAATTTTCACAAAGTTAAACTCTAAATCTCGAGTTAGAGTGTCCTCAGATAATAGAAAATAGTGAAATATTAGTAATCTATAGCATTAATGGCCCCTTAACGCGCAGCAGGGTTCGATATTATCGGTAGATTTGCAGGATAATAAGACTACATCGCTTATAAGATACTAATATCGAAATAACGTACAGAAAATATTACATTCTGTTCTCACTGTCGTAGTTGTTGGTACTATTTTGAAGGAGGCTTTGCTTTTTTTACTTCAACGCCATCTCACAGTCAGTGGTTCGAGTAAATCGAGTAAAAAGGATCCGAATGGTATATAACAGGTACAATATAAGATAACCAAATTCTTTCTTAAACTCTTCAGTTTTTACATGAGTAACCGRAAATTCCCTTGCTTCGTTAAAATCAACGTACAAGCTTCACATTTTACCAAGAAAGATGTGTGTCCCTTGCATATTGATATTCTTTCTCTTCACAATAATGTAATTATAACTCAATCACTTTCATTCTTGAACCGATCCTATGAAAGGCGACTAAACACATGATTACGTAGTCATGGAATGCAGCGTGGTAAGTCCTTGAGTGAAGGAACCAAAATATAGTCATCAATTACTTAACGAAAAAAAGTTAGGGGTTTCATTGTCGGATGATGCGGAGCGCGTATCTTTCAAATAAGTTACGTCTAGGATCCATTATCTTTCGGTGACCAACCAAAAAAAAAAAGACTTGATTCGGATCTCATCCTTAGTACGTAAATAATGGGTCAGAAAATGCGCTATTTTAATCTAAAATCGTTAGCGGACTAGAAACGTGGCCGGTCGTTCATTTATTTTTAGATTGTCTCGCATTATTCGCGCATGCGCGCCTGTCGAGTGCATAATGAATATATACTGACGTAATGATTTTGTCATTTACATTGAGTCATACACTCCAAAACAAACACACGCACACATATATATTATGAAAAATAATTCGAAGTTAAACAAGTAAAAGATCTTACAAACAGAGAACGGCTTCTCTAAAGTCTTGGCTTAAAAACTGGTGTTTATTTAAGTAGCTATCAATAGTGCTTTTTCGCTTGAGAGTACTCTTAATCTATAAGGTAAGTAATGAGACGCAACATAATTTAAAGTAAATTCCAGACCATTGCGCTTTTATATTCTTATCGGCTTGGAGTTTGATTTCTGAAATCGATCCGATATAAAATTGTTCAATCTTCGCGTACTATTTTTTATTCAGTACTTTATCACTTTAATATATTTATTTATTTATCTATTTATTAGATACTAGATAATATTAGATTTTATAGGCCTTTGTTTGATATTATATTCAACAGAGTAAGACCAGGGATACTTCTGGGTAGATTGTAAAATTCTTATTTCAAAGCATATATTYTTTATGAGTTGCAAACATTGTTTTTAACAAATTCATTTTCACCAATGATTGAGCTCGAGTGTTTTTAAGCTTTTAAATAGAACTATGATTTCTTGAGGTACAAAATTCCTTAATGAGACTCTAATACAATTATACATATGTCAGAAAAACATGCTCTTATCAGATTATTTGAAAACCATGAATAGGCTTAATGCTTAACCACATTCCTTGATTTTCTGGAATCTTAACAAATTCAAATAGTAAGAACGAATTTGTCATTAAAAAAYATTATATCAATAGCTCAAAAAACGSCTCGTGGCAACGAAGAGAGATATAAGATGAAGATGAAACAGAACTCTTGATTAGCTYCATTAATAAAATAACTATCTATGAAGTGACACGCAAAGCAGATAGATGTACTATTCTATACTACAAGGTTATGCGAACGAGAGTTATAATAATAATAATGATTTGAAAAAGGACTTTTTTTGAGCATTGTCTAGAAATGTTTACAAGGCAAGCTGTCTATGCTTCAYACAGCGAGTTCTTCACAATATTATAAGACTTTATCGACCGCTAGATAACATCTTTTCAGTCTGAAATGTTCATTATTGGAGCAGTCTATCCTTCTAGTAACTGATACCACAAGTCTGACAAATAAAGACACTCGAAATGAGGTTTTAGGCAGTAATTCAGCCGAAAATAGCAATTTAAAACCACTTAGAAAAGGAGGTATAAAATTCTSAAGCTCTGACTCAAATTCATTACTCAAAAACAACCCGTCTGGGCTTGTTCTAAAGTAATTAGGAAATACTGTACTCACTTTTGTCAAGATAGGTCTTTCCAGGCTTTCCAGGAGTCCAGAAGTCTAAAATATTTCCATTCAAAAACATCCAAGGAAAACTTTGTGTTTGTATTCGGCGCCATTTTGYATAGAATTACAACCCAGTCTGTTGGACCGTGGGTAAAGGATTCGCGCCAGTCCTACACGGTTGGTAAGTTGTTTGAAAATTTGAATTTGGAAACTCTTTCATTCTTTTCTATCTTTTTATTTTTTATTCTTTCGTYCTTTTTTATTTCTTTTTTTATATTTCTTTTGATTATTTGATTATTTATTTATTATTTCCCTTGACGGAGCTATTATTTTACTGAGTTCTTGGATTGAACGATGAGGGGGGGAAATGGTTAAATTAAAAAAAAGGTTAAAATGGGATAGACCTAAAAATCAAAAGATCGTGTAAAAAAATCAAGAACGAGAAAAGACTAGATAGATGTCAGAGATAAAAGAATAGAGAGTTTTGTTTGATGACAATATCACGCTGACGTAAAGATGTGCTATCCGAAGCAGATTTCATTCAAAATCCTGCTCAAGTAGGTTTCGTTTCACTCAAGATTATCATGTTAGAGTCGTTGACAGTGTATTTTAGAACTGTCATAATCTCTAAGGTTCAGGTTCTCTCTATACCATTTGAACCGTAGCTCTTAAATCAGTCTAAGTACCATATCAGGCAAAAGACAAAACTGTTCTTGCGGTATTTGAAATACGAAGGGTCCTAAAGATTTTAAAGGAGCTTTTTCTTTTGCGTATGAAACTATTTTACCGGCAATCTCTTGTACATCAACTCAAAAGTAAGTACATTTTCAATTAATATCTTCATTGATGTTCTCTTGTCAGGCATGTTCATGTCATGTCATTGACGGAGAAACAATCTTGACTCTCCTGAGGTATGTGAATGAGCGGATGTTCACGTTAGTATAGCAATCAATTTCAGTTTTTTCTTGATTTGCAAGCTAATAATAAAGTAAGGTAATAAAGTCCTTTTTTTTACGAGGGTAGCACTTAATAGCCAGTGGCTAACAAACCTGTGGCCCTCATTCCGTGATCAAATTGGAATTTAGGRGTTGATTTTTGTGGAGGGAGGAAAACCGGAGAACCCGGAAAACCCTCGAAGCAGGTAGAGAAGCAACAAACAACTCTACTCATATACAACACCGAACCCGGCGGGACTCGAACTCGGGTCGCATTGATGAGAGGCGAGYGCTCACACCGCTACGCAACCCGTGCTTCCCTGGGCTGGGCGGKGGRAGGGGGAGGGGTGCATTAGCACGCGCCATACAYCAACTATGATGACATAGGCTTTGCACCATCACGCCATGGCAGCCATGACAAGAGGCAGTTACAATTGAATCTGATCTAATCTAATTTACATGAGAAATAATTCAGTTTCCCAKGGTAAAAAGACCATTTTTGTGCCTCCTGCCATGGATGCCATCACGTAGGTGCAAAGCCTCTATACGCAATATTTTATCTGTGCAATTAGCCATTCTGTCCTGCAAACGAATACACAGCTCAGTACTTAAGTGAACACCAGTCATGATTGAAATGAAAATTAGCCGGAAGATAACCAACACAGTGCACTTGAAAAGGAAAGTTATAGCCCACCTCGACTTGCCGGATAAAAGTCAATAAATTGACAGCTGTCAATTTCATTAGCGTAAACTTACGATTGAAAGATTGAAAGGATCAGTCAATGGTGCTCGGCTTTGTACACATTTGACGGATAGTGTATTTAAACTATATATCCGTAATCAGTATTTGATTTTGGTCTTAACAAAAAAAAAAAATACTATACTATATACTACTACTATTTCTTCTAACACTACTATTRTTATACTACTATCTACTATATTACTACTACTGCTACCGCCTATAAGCTACTGCTACTACTACTAACACTATATTTCTGTTGGTGCTGCTACCATCAAAACAACCACCACTACCTCTGCTTCTTGCTGCTGTGTATGTCCAGACGGAAGGAAAATCTGTTCGTTATTTTAAAATCAGTTACTATAGAGAAATAATGAGTTTAGAAACRCCATGGTAGACTGCATGACAGATTGTCTGTAGCAAAAGCGATTTAAGAACTATACTTTTGATATTTTGTCATCTAATGACTCAAGCGCTTTTGTGAATTGTCAAACGTTCGTGACAGCTGTAAACCAAGACGTAATTCTCACTGACAACCAATTCATACATAAATATAGAAAATAAGCTAGCCAGTGTTTATGAGAGGGAGGTCGTAACTGGCACAAGTAGTCTGACCCAAAATTCTGAACAATCTACAGTTCAGTTACCACAAATAACCTCGGAATATCTTCAGTGAAATGCTCCAAAATCCAAAAAAGGCATATTTATCTGCAACAGAAGGTAAACTCAAAAATCTCAACTACTTTCTAGGAATAAAACAAYTGCCAAGAAATTTATTTATATCTTGGGATGTTTTGATGGGGAAAAAATCTTTCTTCTTAAAATAGGTAATTTAACTTGATATTTTTTGTGTTCGGAAAAAAAAAAAGTACCAAACATATCTTAAACTGAGTTGGCGAATTCAGCTCCTTGGAATTTAAAAAAAAGCGAAATTGAATTCGAATTTTAGTTCATTCATTTCATTGCTCAAGGTAAAGTCACCTTAAAATTGCTTTAGTTAGGTTTGTCAAGCTAAGTGGTATCGAGAATTTTCGTGTCTATATCTACATAGCRTGAGAAGTAAAAGTTTGGTGAAAAATGTCAAATGCTTATCTGATTTTTCGTAAGAATTCAGTGTACATAAAACAATAGTTACGAATATGAACCAAGAAATAAGATCAGTGCGATTGGGCTAGATAGACACTAGGTATATATGAGGTTCAAAAAGGTTAGTATTTGCATATTTGCATTGAGAAAAAGCCTTAAGAGTCACTGCTTTTTTCCAAAAAATGACTAAAAATAAACCCGGTAAGCTAAAGATTAATGGCTGAACATTACAGGCTGGAAGGATGCTCATTTGTTTGTTCAATGAGTAATAACGTACATTGTAWATGAATTATTGTACGTTCGAGTATCCATGAAAACTATCAATTCATCTTATCTACTTGTCACTTGCATTTTTCTTCCGATATTACTTGAAAATGTTTGAACTGGCTATGGTTCTTAGCTTCTATGTGTGTTTTTAGAGTAAGGCAGTCAAAAAAAGAAATTAAAGGTACTAATCGGGATAATTTTTTGTGTGCGCTTTTCTTAATTTTTTCTCTTCTCTTCTCTTCTCTTCTTTCTTTCTTTCTTCTATGTTCGAACAGCTTTTGCAACCGGTTATTTCGCATCTAGTTAAAATCCACGTATCCTTGCTCAGCGGTCCGTCCCGAGTGCTGCGCATGCGTGCGCATKTTAAGTTCTGCGTTTATATTACAAACAAACAAYTAGAGAAAACAAACAAAAACAAAACCGGATCAGTATGATATATATACATACGAAAAAAAACCATCGACCTGAAACCTTAGCTTACAGTAGTTTTTCGAGACTAATTAAATTTTCATTTTGGGAGGTTATTCAAATAGRATCAATGTCTAATTCATACAATACGAAGATTATTGTGCAATGTAAATTCAAAATTGGCTTTAGAAAAGCGTTCGTTTTTATGACACTTCCGTTAAGCCTTTAAAGCTTTAAAAGAAAAGCTAGTAAAAGAAAAGAGGGTATTGAATAGCATGATAAGTAAAGCAATATAAACACCGAGACAAAAGAGTCGCTTTGCTCTGGTTCATTAGAAGGCTCTTAAGGACAACAAAGCAAATAGACAAGAATCATTTAAAGTTTGCWGTGATGCTGATGCAAATCAATCTTACTTATGTTATCACTGTATCTATACACACGTACGCTWTACGGCGTCAGTGGTTTTGGAGATGGGTGACTACATTAGTTATGGGTCGTGAGGCTAAAGTAAGTAGGTTATYAAAATAATAAGAGATCTTCTACTCTAAAGTTCTTAGATTACTTTTGGTAATATATTTCACTGGCATAAAAACAAAATGTTCTTTAAGCAAGTTTCTATGCAGACAAATTTAAATTCGATTAAGAAACCGAAGAAACTCGTGGAAAAAACTGCTTCAAGAATACAGCTGTACACCGTGAATCTTCGAGCAGTYTACCTTTTTTGATAGTCAATGATTCTAAAGCTAAGGGCAGCAGTAAGCTAGAAAGTAATAATTCATGGTCAAGAATTAAGTAAACAACGTTTTAGTTTTCGTCGTCAAGATGATTCCTGTTCTGATCCGGTACTTGTGCAAATATTAATAATGGGTAATAATTCGTGTTCATTGGAAAAGAAATGAATTGGTGTGTGTTTTTCAGTGTTGAAAAAATAAATGGTTCCTTTGTCGCTTTGCGAAAACTTTAATGAATTCAATATCAATATTAAACTACGACTAAACCACAATTATACATCTAATGATTTCATGTCATTTCAATTCATGAAATTCCTAGAATCAATGACTAAAATTATTGCATAACTACTTTTTGCGGAATAGAACAGCGACTGCATGGCCAAGAAGGTTGACCGAACGATTAACCGGTGAAATCAATTTTTTAAATGTTGGCTTTTTAGCTAGGAATTTTTTTAACCGCTGTCAGCGTCTCAAACGATCTTAGAAGATGAACTCCGAATTTTCGTTTCTTTTTTTTTTTTTTTTTTTTTTTTTTTTTTTTTGCTGCATCCATAAATAGGATTAACAATAATAATAATATTAAGCAGTCTTCGCGATGCATTATAAAAATAAATGACTTTAAACCAGAAGTTGCCCGACGATTTCTAATCTTATCACATACTAAAAGCCGGATTAAAAAAATAAAGAAATAAATGAAATAAATGTCTGTAAAGACCCTTCTGATTAGACTCTTCTGATTAACCGATAACAAGATTATTCAACTAAAAATATTTTCAAAGTGATTTCTAATTTATTTTTTAGCGACCTTTATGAAGCTTGAAATAAAAGGAGATCATGTAGCGTTGGTAGTTGTGTGGACAGTCTCCTTTGAGCCAATTCACTGCTTCATTTTCATTGSCTGGAAGGGAACAGCGGTGCCGGTTTTAGTACTGGCGCTAATGATATCTTTTTCAGCTCACTTTATATATTAACACATGATTTAGATATTGTATTCGATATTACATTTCACAGGACGGGAAGTACGTGATCTTCAAGTCGTGTGACAGAGAATCTTGTAACAGCAAAACACAATCAATGCAAGCTGGTGGGTCAGAGATCTTTGAGGAGGCATTTTGAGAAAAACTCATTTAAAAAACCAAGACTCTGGCATATATAAAAAGTGTAAAAATATACGCATGCTTAAGTCAAGAACCAGGTATTTTGAATTTATTATATTTTTTTCAACAAAAAAAAAAAAGCATTAAAAATTGCTCGCGGCAGTGAATTAGTTGAAACTGCTTTTAAAACACTAAAGTTAATGATGATGGTTTAAAGGAACGCTTTTTCAACGACATTATATAGGTTTACGTTATTCATAAATTTTTGATCCCTGCCTCTCTCTGCGTGGATGCTATTTGTTTGAGGGCAATTAAAGGAAACGATAGGGCTGATAGTATATTAGATTCTGGTAACTAAGTGTGTGTTTATGTTGTGAACTCTAATAACACAGCGATTTTTTTACTTCATGTAGGGAATCATCCAAAAGAGACGTGTAATACTGCCTCACCCAAGCCATCTCAAGGTCAAATTGAAAAGCCTTCGGTTTTTGAACCAAATAAAACAGCAAGACAGCGCGGAGATATAACATAATAACTTCCTTAGTTCATTGGTATAAAGTGATTGAAATCTAGACTCGGAGCAAGTTTGATCGTCGAGGGGACACAAGACGCTGTGTTTCTAGAACCTGCTACGAAAAGAAATCTAATTTATTAGAAAAAAAGTGAAAAAAACGGGAGCTTTACTGAGAGACATCTTGAAGAAAGGAACGCTGAAAAAAGCTCGATTTTACTGAATCTGACCTTGTCTTTCAAGGTTTTTATCAGATGTACTTATAAAATCAAAGTCTGAGGCCAAGTCCCTAAATCGGTTCCTAGAACGGCTTGTTCAAATTACAAGCCATCATATGAGCTATTGACATTTTACATTCGATTGACGGAACACTGAATTGAAAGTCGCAGGAATGGAGAACTCAACGTTGTTGACAGAGTCTTTAAACGCTACGGCCAACACAGAAACATCAATGAAAGGACTAGTAATCGTCGAGTACACTCTATTCGCTATTATATTTATCGTTGGAGTTGTCGGGAACATCCTCGTATGCCTAGTAATCTTGAAAACACCGAGCATGCGAAGCACGAGAAATTATTTAATCATCAACCTAGCCATTGCTGACATAACAGTGGCTTTGGTTTGCATTCCCTTTGATGTGGTGATAAAGATATATGGTGATACATGGGTACTCGGAGCAGCGCTTTGTAAAATTATCTGGCCATCCATGACTTTGGTGACCACCTGTTCCGCTGCTACTCTGGCGGCCATCAGCTATGACAGGTATGTGTAGGACTGACAAAATCTATGAATAACTAATTGGGAATATTAACTTCTATTGAATTTTGAAATCCGGCTTAAAGTAAATTTAACTTTGGATGAAATTAGAAAAATTGGTTTGTATACAATCGTTGCGCGGATTTGACAGCTGCGGGGATGAAAAGAATGGCTCGYTTTGTGAATGGGGCTTAAATAATTAAACGCCTTTGAAAAAAATGTCACTAACGGCTTTAAAATGCCATTCACCTTTGGCTAGGAAAAAGCTTTCTATGGTAAAATATTATTCGTGTTTTGTATGCAGAAGGTGAAGTATGAATGCCAATCTTGTTTATGAAGGCGTTATTTATTAACCCGATAAAATATCCTTCAAATTGTAAGTCCGATAGGTAAGAAAATGGAACGAACTAAATGAGTGATAAAGAATCAAGGAAAGTTTTTGAATGAGGACTGCAGTCTGCAAATATGAACTAAACTGACCCTCATACTCCCTGTCGGATTTATCGATACACGGAAATACCTCTGGCAGGTACTCACAGATTGAAACCTGAAACAACCTCTGGGTTGGTCTAAGTTATGGCACGGCTAACTCGATCACAGATCGAATCATGATGAACGTCTGGGCTGATCTATGTCAGGGTACGGCTAACTCACAGATCGAAAACTGAAACGGCAACTTCTGAGTTGGTCTAATTAAGGGCGTGGCCAACTCACAGATCGAAACCAGAAAAAACCTTTGGGTTGGTCTAAGTCAGGGCACAGCTAAACCACAAATCAAACCTTAAAACAGCCTCTAACCTCTAACTTTAAAACCCTAATCCTGCTAACTTTTAGCATGACTACTGTTAAAACCATCGATCTCTGTAAGTCTTCCCACATGATTTGAAGAGTAGGCGCAAAACGAGAGCAAAGTTTTCAGAGAGTCTTTTCGCAATTGTAATATACTCCATGCAATCGCTCAAGTATCGATAGCTCAGGTTTTCTGTGCCCCCATCACTAGTTCCTACACTGCCAAGCTCTCTTAAAAGAAACGAGTATTGCGTAGGTTGGTATATAATATAAACACTGTGCATTCATTGGCAGATATCGTGCAGTAGTTCACCCATGGAAACCACGACTAACCCAAAGACAAACAGCCATCGTCATCTTCATCACCTGGGTCTTTTCCTCCATCATCGTACTTCCTTACGTCGTCGTACTCAAGCTCGACGAACAGGGCTGTAACGAGTACTGGCACAAAGACTTATACCGGCAATTATACACAGCGTTCCTCTTTGTCTTTTCTTACTCACTCCCGCTTGTCATTATCGCGTTCGCATACGTAAGGGTCGCCCTAAAGCTTAAGGAACAGGCTGAAAAGATCGCCCGAAACAAGAAAGCAAGTGGCGCAATTTCAATGACAAATTACAGCTGGTCCAAAACCGCAAAAGAAGACATCAGTGAGAATCTAACATCGTCGCCTCGTCACTATAAAAAAGATTGCGCCCTTCTGCAGGACTTCAACAGTGGATACGCCAACGACAAGTCAACCCCTTCACCCACCACACCAGAAAATCCACAAAAAGAGGTGAAAAGACTCGAACGCAACACCAGAATCGTCAAGATGTTAGTAACTGTTGTTTTGATTTACGCGTTGTGTCTTTTGCCCAATCAACTTGTGTGGATGTGGATTGAGTTCGGCGACGGAACATCATATCCGCGGCTCACTACATTATTAACTTTCACAGGGATGCTGGTATATATTAACAGTATCGTCAACCCTTTTCTTTATGCAGGGATGAACGATGAGTTTAAAAAAGGCTTTGAGAAGCTCCTCTGTTGTAAAAGAGAATATGGGAAGAGATTTTAACGTATAATGATTTTAGAAAAAATCCTGAGTGAAGAAGCACTATATAACCAAGAAGAAAAAGCACTTCTATACACACAGGGTAGAACAGAATATCATGTCATTGTCAGTCATTTTTCACTTGTATATTCTCGTTATAAATCGTTAGGAAACAGATTCTATAACTATTAAAAACATGTTGGAAGGGTGAGTTGGTTCTCCGCCTCGAACCAACTAAAACACTAGGCAGATAAAGCAGAGACGTCATGTACTAGGGCGATTAAGTCTGGTTCACACAAGCGTCGTAATCGTAATCGGAAGCTATACACGCAGACTTAGTGGCGTACTGCTCATCAGTAACAGTGTTTGTCTTTTTTTACAACTGGGTGATAAATGCGATACTGAGTCTGTGTATGCTGCGYATGCGTACCATTCCGATTCCGTCGCCAGCGTGAACCAGGCCTTAAAGACGGTAACGCAAACAGGTTATGATTCTATCGTACGTGCGTACCGTGGCCTTGACTGCTGACAACTTCATCAGGACGCGAAAAAAAAAACCATTAAAGGAGGGTTACTTGCCAGGCACGTTGCCCCAAAACGCTTGCTCATTGGTCGAGGCAGCATCGAAACACCACAAATCCTTCAGCGTCCAGGACTGTATGGATGTTTTAGAAGTTAAAACATACGTAACTTGATTTTGAAAACTCAGATTAATCGTCTTTCTTTCTACTCAAGTAATATTATTGACTAAACTCTGATTATGTTGTGACAGTCAAAACGCAGTTCTCAATGACAGGAATTTTAACAATAAAAACTGGATGAACGTTCGGTACCTCTTTGCAAGAAATTAAATTAGTTATTTAGCTAAATCGCATGATTTAGATTTAAAGGTAAAAGAATTTTTAGTCAGATTTCAGACAAAAGAACTAGAGCTGATGACAAGAACTTTCTGATAATACCGAAGATCAAAAAGTCAACGTTTGGAGGCCGAAGTTTTAGCTTTACTGCGCCTTATCTCTGGAATAACCTGCCTGTTAACATCAGATGTGAGCAGAATATAAAAACATTCAAAAAAAGTTGAAAACCTATCTTTTTTGAACATTGAGTATTTCTACAGCATTCATTTAGCTAGTCAATTTTCGCATCATTTTGTTTTGCGGATTATTTATTTAACATTATTTTTAATTTATATGTATTTTCCACAAGTTTTAGATTGAAATTATGAACATTTTACACATAGTTATTGTAAATATTTTTTTCATTTTATTTTACTTTATATATATATTTGTTTTATGTATGTTATTAATGTAAAGCGCTTTACTACGGATCTCATTGAACTGTGGCGACACGTCAAAATTTTGTCTCGCTACCACACCCTAATTCGTCTACTTACACGCCTACTTTTGTTACATGTATTACAGTGAATACCTTACTGGCAATGTGCTAGATCCGAGACAGTGACAAAAGTAGGCGTGTCAGTGGACGAACTAGGGTGTGGTAGCGAGACAAATTTTTGACGTGTCGCCACAGTTCGGTGAGATCCGTAGTCAATATTGTATATAATGCGCTATATAAATAATAAAGTTATTATTATTATTTTAAACCTATGTGTGAGGCTAGAAATAAAAAGTTTCAAATATAGTGTCCAATAACTTGTATGAACAAGCCGGAATATATAAGATAGGCCGTCACGTTGCAGGGTATAACAAAAGACTAGAAACCTATTGGCTCTGTAGGTTGGGCATAGGAGGGCAGACTATTGTGCGGAAGCGAGGTCGTGGGCTTAAGCCTCGGCAAGACCAACAATAAAAGGTCTTAAAATATCTGAGTCAAAGGTGCTGCCTTGGCTTTAAAAATATCTGCAAGACCTTCGTCGTGCATTTTGTTGGCTCGGATGACAACGTAAAATGGTGGTTCCTCCGCAATAATTGATACTATATTTACGACTGTTCTTAGCCTYATTAAGTGATAGGTAATGTGCGCACTTGAGAAATAGCAGCCGAAAAGGAAGGGAAACTCTATATCTCCTTTCTTTTAAGAAAAAACTTTCAGTTCCAAACTGCATACTTCCTTATCAATATCAGTAAGATGAATATTGTACGCACTTGAGAACGTCAGTACACTTGATAAAGTTTATATTGGGAAAAATCGCAGTTAAAGGTAACGACCAGATGAAATTAATGGCAAGGCAAGCTTTTAGTGGGCGCCCCRATGTTGGGGAGAAGGGAAAAACTGGTTTTCTTTATGGATAATTGAAAAATTAATTGTCATCCTTGATYCTTATTTTGTTCAATTTTTCTGCACGCCATTTTCAAAATGGCATTCCATGATAGAAGGGCCTGTCTGTCTTCCACGTGCTACCTACTGCGTGGCGACCTTGGTTGACCAAGGAACGTTGGCTCAAGCACGATCGTCAGATTAAAAAAATTTACAAGATCTTTWAAAAATAACATTTGCGGAACAATACATTGTATCTCAATCATCAATGAAAAGAGTTATTATTATTTTCACAAAACGAAACAATTGGAATCTAAATCCTATATTTTAGATTGCCGAACAATGTGCCCTCAAACAAGGAAAAAAGTCCAAAATATTCAAAAATATATAGAATCTTGATAAAAAGATTATCACAGTGCGCGCCGGAATGTAAAAGGTTTAAAGGTATGAAAAATTTGTTTAGACCTACTAGAATGATAATATTTTTGCAATTTTGGTCAAAACRAGTCACTCAAAACTCTTTCTCGTCAAGGCCAACAGGGTCAGATCTAGATAAGAATTAATTTCAAAAAATGTCAAACACTTGTAAAGTGCCTTGTTGTTCTCTGATTGGCTGTTTACGACAGGTTGCCTCTATACCCCTCCCCCCCCCACCCCACCCCCCTAAGTATATTTCATGGCAGTGGGTCAAAGGACCCTTATTGACTGGGATAACATTTTTATGTCGGAGACTTTATGAAGCGTAATTTCGAGTTTTCATATTCTGCGTGATTTAAATTTTATACTTATTTATTCATCACTGAGTTTTAAGGCAAAAATAATTACACTGCTTGAAGATTATTCAGTGATTTAAATTTAAGACCTAAGTTAACTAACTAGTTATTTGGAATACTCTTTAATGGCCATTCAATTCTAAGCATTTGAGCAACTGAAGTCTTGTTTACAAGCCCAACTGATTCTAGCCACGCCTACGATTTGCTGCGGCCTCAAAGTTCATGCATCCCAGCCGAATATAGAAACAAAAAACTTGTTATGGCGCTAGTCACCTAGTCTCCCCCACAGCCGCTTTCAGTGTCGTCACGCAACGCTTTCAATAGGAACGATAGGAAAGGAATGTTGTGCTCGGGTAAGCAGCCGCTAGTCAGGGGAGAAAGCGTTGCGTGACGACACTGAAAGCGGCTGTGGGGGAGACTACTAGTCACCGCAAGTATAGCAGTGGCACAGCTCAAAACTGAAGGCATGAACTGAATTAAGCAGAGAGAAGTTTCCAATTTCTTTAAAATTCAGTTGTAATTCAACTCGTTTAATTTATTTATTTTTCGGAATTCAGCCCTGGGTTTATGATTGATCACAAGGGTCTTATAGTCTGCTATACAAATCCTCGTGTTGATGGAAAAGTCTGGCAAAGTTTACTGTTTACTCAAAGGATCTCAATTATAGTCTGTCATGTCACTATCTATCCATCAAACTACTAATTGGAAACCGCGAGATTAACAGTCTAAAAAGCGTTTCGCAATAGGCTACATTGTTTAAGTTCTTTCTTCAGTTTTGCAGTAAATTGCGTGCAAATATAGAAGCTAAGTTGGTTGTGGAACTCCGCCACTGTTAAAGCCAGCAACCGGTTATAAAACACAAGGTATATTTAAATCTGGGTTGTTTTTGATGTCGTGTGGTTTAACGACACAAATACCTTTGTTTTTAACAAACATTGAAAATTCCTTGTGGGCGTGTGTTTTGCAAAGCTTGGAGCGCTGTCAATGAATCGATCGGCGTTGACAAAAAAACAACCTGAAATGCCAAAAATCCTACAAAGGAGAGGAAAGCTGATGTCATTGATGAATATATCACATACCTACGAAGCGTATAGGACTTGCGTTGTAAACTAGTCGCTAAAATTAGCAGCGGTAGACTTTTCCAACTTAGGTGTGATATTTTTCACTGATGTGCGCAACCAAATAACAGGCAGATTAAGATTTCCGTTTTTCCTTCCCGCAAACGACAAACGTGACCACGTTTTCATCGTTTCCCTACATTTCACTTTACCTTTTGCAAACCTTCTCGACAAAGACAAGTATTCTTTTGTTTATCTACTACATGGAGATTTTTACGATTCCTTTTCACTAATTTTAAAGAATTTTTTAATGGTCAACTGACGTTTCATGTTTCCCGTAAACGAGAATCTTAAACTCTAATAATTTTAAACTGATACTTGAGCCATAAAGACATGTCCCGCACCCCGACGCACTCCTTTAGGTCTATTAAACCGAATTCCATAGAAATGTCTAACCTTCCTTGACTGTGGTCGCGGCCACAAAAACGAGGTGATATCGGATCTAATATATATAAATGGTTCAGGTTAAAAAAAAAAATTGGCACTCAGACGTGATCATTATTTCAGCAGTATTCTTTATTTCATTACGTTTCAACTATATGATGATATACAATTTGTTTATCAAAAATATAGAGTACAGTTATCGCCTATTTTACAATAATAAATAGATCAGTAATGAACTTAAATGTGCACACAGGAATGAACTATYAAAAAGCCTGTCTTTCATGATGCAAATCAGTGCAAATTAACAAAAGTTATTTTTTGTTTGTTTAGCTAGGGAATTGTAGCCATCAATAACTCAAAAAAACTGTTGCTAACTAGTTAGGCTAAATAATTCGAATGTATTTGAAAATGAAAACAATAACCTAACTGTCAGTTAAAGGTTCTGTCTCACTTTTTCGGCAGCAAACGATGCGTTTTTTTAAATACAAACATTATCGTATCCTTGGTCTTGCATCTCTTCTTATCGACAGAAAAACACGCTTTGAATCTTTCTTGTTTTCATAAGTATTAAAGTCTTTAGTTCTGCTTGAATCCCAGCTCGTTTATATTCTCAGTTACTTGATTGTTTTAAAGTTTTGAACAATCTTTTCACGTTGTTTCTCTTAACTCCACAACGGTTTCGACATTTCACAAACTCAAGACTGCAGTCATAGCAATTTCCAATTTGGCATTGGCTCATGCAGGCATCCCAGTTTGCTTTGCACCTTTTGGCACAATGTATAGGGTTTGCAACAGCACATGTAAGACAAACGGCAAAGAACAGCAATAAAACTCTCTCCATGGCTTGTTTTTCTCAGTCGCAGCTAAAAACACACAACAACAAACTAATAATCAATGAGCAAATAGTTCCAAGTGCGTTGGAGGACTTATCTATGATAGGAATGTGAAAAACAGCTTCAACAACAACTACCTAAACTGAAAAACAACCTATACCAAACTAAGAAAACAACCTTTAATAACCTTACTAAAACTTTGTAAAAAACTGCTTAATGCTTTAAAATCCTTTAAATTCGCTTCAAGGCTCAATATCCTAGATCTGAGTTGTACTATAGTGAAATATTTTTCAGCAGTTCAGTGTGCTATATATGACGCTGTCATACGCCCTCTCATCTCAGAAGGCGTCATTAAGTAAACCTTTCTAAACTTGTCACTATTAGTTGAATCGAAATATCAATAAAAGATAGCGTTAGATAATAAGCGTCTTGTCTTCGATGAGCGAGCTTCAAGTGCTAGCATGCTTGGTGTCGTCACAGGGAGGGTGGGGCGGGGAAGCTTTTAACATTCCTAAAAAGTATATTCGAAACACTCTACATTTTTCATAAAAAAATAATTGAAACTTTTTCGTTGGCCAGTGGAATCAGAATAGCACACAAAAAAGAAGATTTTAATATGGCCTCAAGGTGCAAAAAACGATATTCCAGCAATCTCATTTCTTTGCGATTCGATTGATTGATTACTGATTTAAAGATATTGATAGTTCAAAAAAAAAATTTTTTTTTTGAAAGTCAATGACTGTTTTATAGCTCGCGGCATGAATTTCTATACAAATATCAATTTTACTCTACTATCAGCTAACTCTAACCAGATATGAATCGTTCTGATCAAAGGCACAGTTACCCTTTAATAGTAGAGAATGAAGTTTTGTACACAGAAAGTGGAAATGACTAGAACTAGAGTTCCAACGAGTTAAGCTAACTGTAACATTGTAATGGCTTCCCGCTGCTATTCGTTTGAAGTCGTCCAATCATGAACAACTTAATTCAACGAATTTAGTTAATGAAATCCATGCCATAGATATATTATTACTTCTACAGTCGGTTCACCTCAACATGTCTTGCCTAAAACTCACCTTTTTTCAGGTCTCTTTTCTTCTTTCTTGTTTGAGATTTAAAGATCTTGATACAACTTCACTGCATGTGGTCTTTATCCGTACCTCTATTTATACATCCCCAGAGAGTGAGATATTCCGTGGACCTATAATCAGTTACGTGCACGCCAGCGCCAATGCGTGGGAGACGACACTCAGACTTCATGGACCTGATGGATGACGGTATATACTTATATGTAACGGGAAAACATACTTGAAAACGCGGATCGGACGTTTTTCGAAATTTTTGACGGTTAGGAATTTAAGCTATCATAACACGTCGATTCTGCCGAAACATTTCACTCAAACCTCAAGCGAGCAATGGTTGGTAGGGAGGTCAAATATACATGTATTTCATGACATGTTTTGGGAAAACGTCTGCCTAAATAGAAAAGGAAGTGAGGAAAGGAATGTTAAGTGAGTTTCGGAATTGATGGACTGGTTTAAAAGCGACGAGGTTGATCAGGCTACCCAATCCGTTAAATACAACACTTACATTTAATGCTGTATAATCTCAGGTGCTGTGAGCAAGACAGGAATCTAAAGTAAAAAATATCTTGTTTCTAGGAAGATAAAATATTCTTAATCGAAGCTCATTTTGAGAAAATATAATTTCAATGTAATTTCGAAATGCGATGCACGAGGATGCACGCATTAAATATACCGATGATGTCGATTTATTTTAATTCTCTAAGAATTGCTGAAAAATCGAATACTAAGCTCAGCCACATCACCGTCTCGTTCTATCTCTTCCTTCCGGCTCAATGGCCTTGTCCCTTGTTGCTTGTCGCAAACGGTCAGGGTGGCTTCTACTAGCTTTGCCGGGAACTTTCACACAACGCAAAACTTAAATGATCATCTATGATTCTTGACTCAGTCGACGCATGTATATTAACGAAACTGTATTATGTAGTTAGATTGAAGCCATATAGCTACTGAATACTAATCTTAAATTTCCAAATATCATTTATCTTTTAACAGCTCGACCATTCAGCTTGACAGAAATTCTAGATTTTCCTCTTTCAATAACTAATATGTCGCGCAATTAATTTCATTTCACAATCAATGATATTTCGTTAACATCACAATGAAAAGCAATATTTATTGATTCTAAGTTTAGTTCTGTTGATATTAGCAGGAAATCATTCTTCAATATCATTTAATGTACGTTTTTATTTAACTACTTTAAAGCGAAGACACTCAGACCTTGAATATACACTTCGGGTTATTTGTCACGAAGATGGAAACATTTCTTGCTCAACATAAATTAGATTTGCTGCAACAGTTTTATTGTGCTCTACATTTTAAGTCTCAACTTGAGAGGAATATACTTGAATATACTTTCGTATGWAAATCATGCATGGAAAAATCCAGTACACAAGGAAAGAAAGATAGAACAATGAATAAAATTGTTTTTTAACGTTAAATACAAACATCCTTGCAGTATGTACTCAAGATTGAGAGACACCCTTGACAGTTTAGGTAAACAGTTATGGCAAGTATGAAAATATAGAAACATAGTTGTTATAGAATTTCAGATGAAGTTAAGCAAAGTATAAATGACTTAATTCCTTTCTATAAAAATCCTTTCGGGTACTTGGGAATTTAATCTGAAGATAATGGATTTTTTCAATGATGTAGGGAATCGTAACTGTAACATCGAAACTTTAAATGATGTTGGCGTCAGTAAAACCATTGGTTAAATGGTTTTTATATTGCGATAATTAAAAATACGTGCTTAGTTTAAAAGCTTCTTAAATAGAAGCTTGATATTTTTGGATACGTAACTCAGTAAAAATTATTATGAAGGGGGGGGGGGAGAGGGTGGGGGGTTGGATAGATCAATTTGTGGCACCTCGAAAATTTTGGAATTCCATTTGGTAAAATTTTTAAAGATTTTACGAATCGAGTATAAAAATGAATTGCTTAATGTTAGGAAAAATAGTCAACTCATATTTTAAGGATATATTGTATATTATAATTCGCACTTGCAAAATCGGAGTAGAAAGGAAATTCTTGATCACAACGTGCAATATATTATTTTTATACTGATCTCACGAATAGCACTGACATAGCTTGATCAGTACCCCCTACCCCTCCCACCCAGCGAAAATATTGGTCAATATTGGTCCATACATAGCTTTAATCGTGCTTTAAGTTCACACTAATCCTCTTAACTTCGAGTTGAAATACCGAATATTTTCCTGGGAATTTCAAAGACGTCCTTAGCTTAGCCACAAACACTTCCTTTTGCGCTCTCTCTAATTTGGAAAACCATTCAGGAAGATCGGTAGCTTAACAGGAGAAAAAGCACACACACAAAAAGGATGTCTAATTTAGCTCTGACAGAAAATTAAGACAATTCCCAGAAATATTGAGTTCTGGTTAATGCTTTTAAGAGTATTTTTTTAGTTGTGGTTTAAGTTAAAATATCCCACGACCTTTGCCGCACATATTTCTTGAGCTTCAATAGGGATTCTATGTGGATTGATGTTATGATAAAAATAGGTGTGTGTTTTCATCAGGAATTCTTAAAATGCTTCCTAGGTTTAACGAACTCTAACCAGGAACAGTCATGGGGCCTGTTCAGAATCTCGTTCAGAGACCATGTTTGTACTGACTTCTAACCATTGATCAGCGACTGGCACTGCTACATTCGGATATTGTAGCTGTTTTACCGTATGCTTTCCATAGAGATTATTGTTCTCAGTTCAGTTTAAGGCTTAATAAAATGACGGGGACAAATTGGAGTAGCTTTTCCTCAGTTTTTTCAAAACTAAACGTCTTCTGGAAAGTTAAGTTAGATAAGGCAGGAGTATAAGTATTTTAAAAACAAATGAGCGCCAAAGCTGAATCTTTCCACACTGAACGCAGTCCGTCCGCAAGATTCGAGTATAGACCAATCAGAATGCGAGATTATTTTATCAGTGCTCTAACACAGCGGCAGAGTACGTGCGCACTAAAGCTTTTTATAGCCATACGAAATCTTTAATCCTCGTAAGAAAGAGATTACGAAACCATTGAACCCTTGAACTTCGTGAAGAAGGCAAGATTTTGTCGTGATCACTTCCGCTGACGTGACATCTTGTTCCTATAATTAACTCCAAGGCCAGTGCGTGACCGATGCAACCATGCCGTGGGTCACCATTTTCAAATCATCTCATTCGAGATTTTTCTTACAAAATAATGAGAAGCTATTTGAATGTTGTGGTATACCGTCTCTTTTCCGTATGCCACGCCTATGTCGTTAATCAACTTCCTCTTTATTTTACTTCTGGTCCGTCTTTATATAGACCGTGTGTTTGTATGATACCGTCACGCGGGCCTGACATGCCATCGTACCCACCCCAGTCATGTGATTCAGATCACGGAACCAATTAGATGACTCTGACGCGTGCCAGTATTTTCGTCCACTTGATTGAACTAAGTCTACTCTGACGCAGTTTTATTCTTTGCTTTAAATTAGTGAAGCGTTAAGGCCTCCGAAAAAGCGCGCTCTGTCCAACATACTTTTTAATATTCTACCAACGCCTGACTTTGATACATCCAATTGACACTGCCGACTGTTGAAAAGTGTGCTATAGCCAAGAGCAAACTAGATGAAGGCAATCAAAATGAAACAAATTAATGTTATTATTTACTGATTAAACAAATATATCAGCTGTTTATCTTATGTAGTTAATGATTTCTTTAATCGATTAATTAGAGTTTAATTGATTCTGATAAGAGATCATCAATTGGACAACGTTTAATAGATCAAGGGGTGGTTGGTTTTGATGGGACGAGCTATACATGCCAAAAAGCTATCTATCAAATAAAGTAAAGATTTAGCCAAAAAAAAAAAAAAGGTTGAATTATTAAACTTATCAAAGCCTTTTTCTCTGTATTCTGTTATGTCCCACACAGGCTCTAGTTACAATAGCGTTTTTTCATCCATCCATCCATCCATTCAGTCATTCTTTCTATCCTTCGTTATTTTGTATGCATGGAAAACCTAAGATCTTCTTCTCGAAGAAATTGTCGCCAAAAGAATGAATAAACARTCAGTCTAAGTGTCCTTTATTTACATTGTGAGCAGAGCACTGACACAAACCAGTCAATTTAATAATTATTATGCATTAAAAAGCCGAATATTTTTTWAAAATGTATCAGTTATATTTTCAGCAAAGTATTACAATTGATTCCAGAAATTCATTTACTAAAAACCAGACCAAAAAAGCACAAATGAGAATTGGAATGAATCGATACTTCGAGACGCTGAAGTCCAATATTTGAACAATTAATTTTTGAATCGAAACGAAAACCGATTTTATATTTGTTTTTATGTATTTGTCTACACGCTAGGCTAATAAAACGAACCTGCTAGAACAGGAAATAATGTTGAAAGCAAACTAGAGGCAAGCATAGTCATAAACAAAGGGAAGCAAAAAAACAAAAGACTCAAAGGTGGGTGCAAGGTTCCGTATCTTTTTCAATTTTGGACTAATTTGGAAATTCGGAAGAATGTTTGTTAGTGACAATATTAGGTGGGGCTCTCTGTGCAAGGTGTATAGAAGGAGTGATATTGGGTTTACTATCAAGGTTGATATATACGTCATATAAGCAAGCCTTTTGAAAAACTTCGCCTGAAGATATCGATCGAAAATCGACAAACAACAGTAAGCTAGAGAAAAAGACAGAGTAAAGGAGAACTAGAAAACTGGTAAGTAATTGCAAAATATATATATTTTTAATTGTATTTTCGAATTCTCTGCTGACTCTCCAATATATATATTTGAAAAATTATCCATTATCAAAATGATACTGAAATAGAATATTGATATGAACGAGGATATTGTGCGGAATCTTTTGCCAATCCTACATATGTTCTTTTGTCGATCTATCGGTTATTTTTATGTCGTACGAAATATATATATATATATTTACATTTTTCATTTCGAATATGTAATCAAAATCGCCTTGACTTAGATCAGCTCAAAGCTTTTTGTTTCAGCTGCAGGGTATCGATAAGATTGAGGCCGTTTTTCTATCAAGGCATGGCCTCGGATTGTTCTAGTCAAAAACCTCTCTTAAACCTTGTCTATCAGCTTTTTCGAAAATTTTTTTCTAGATTTCAACTTAACATATTATGATATTCTGAATGATCGTTGTTCGATACAGAATTTGTTTCATTGATGAATATAT